ATGGACCAAGAGAGGGCGCAATATTCTTAGCAACGGAGGCTCCTTTGGTAGTAACTGCGCATCGCTGTTTTACGAAAGACTATGAAACGCAAGCGTTGTAGTCGCATGCTTACCAACAAAATGAGCACTCTAGACCAACATGGCTCTTTTTAACCAATTGAGGTGTGCTTCCTCTCAGGGTGGATAACGCAAACGGTTATGTGGATCGATACAAGAAGACGCCTTGAGACAAAGTTGTAGACCCTATTTTTGGTCGCAGGTGTGTGTTCAATTGGTTCGATGTGCAGCTTTCTGCCCGATTGCTAGATCGTTTTCGGGTTTCATACATTTAATGGGCATTCCACTTTTCTTCATTTAAGTTTCCTTGGCTTATTAGGGATTACTTACTAATCTTTTGAGTATTAATACCACATGAATGAACCGTAAGGCTAGGCAAATTAATAAATACTAGCTCTTCCTTATAAAGCCGGCGGACTGCCTCACTAGTCCTTCCGGTCTGACCTGCCTATCCATCCCAAGGGCCTTGAGGTCGCACTAGCCATTCCTTAAGTGAGTCTCATAACATTGCGGTTCTGCTTCTTGAAGGTCAAACCCCAGCAACCATAGAGGTAGCTGCAACTTACTAAATACAAAATATGCTGTTGTATCATGGTTATGATACTTTAGTAAAAGCCATGTTCTTTTTGTGATGGCAATTCACGCAGTAGAATATCGACCTCTTAGACCCCCATATGTGGTGGTTGAATCTCCTCTCACTGTGCGAATGCACTCTGTATGTTGTCGACTTTTTACACTAATTCATTACCATTTTAACCAGTGTTGTCATAATTATATGCATAGGCATAAAAGGCCTGGTCATTGTTTCCTAATTTTTCCGATATGATTCTTAATTTACGCATGGGCCACCACTTCGTAGTAAGGAATCTAAAATTTGGCCAAAGAACATTTCATACTCACCTCAATGTCGACAATGAATGAGCAAATGGGCATCCGTTTGTTACCAACGGCATCTGTGGCCGAATACTTGATGTAATAAGGAGAATTGGAGGCAGTGAAGTAGCCGCCATTGGGTGGGCCGTCGTCTTCTCTCCTCAAACTACGAAAAAAAACACCCAAATTTTAAGGAGAAAAGCAAATGCACTGAACCTGCAAACTAGAGGTTGTTTGAATGTTCTGCGACGAGCCACACGCACGCCCAGCCTTCAGACATTACTAGGTGATAAACAGTAAGGTCGTAAATATTGGGGGATAGGGGTATGGGCGTCAAACTGGACCAAGAGAGGACACTATCTCCTTAGCAACGGAGGCTTCTTTGATACTAATTGCGCAACGACTAGGAAATGCAAGCGTTGCAGTCGAGTCGCTTCCAACAAAATGAAAACTTCCGACCAACGCAGCTCTCTTCATTCGATGAGGGGGTGCTTCTGCTCGAGGGGGTTATATCCTGCCCTCACTTTTTGACGGGGGGGGGTAAGCTATTGAATCGCCCCCACATTTTTCGTGGTGAGAAAAAAGTAAGGCCGATTGTGAAGAATTCGTCGGAGTTCCAAACAACCAAAGTGTGCATTCAATACACTCGTAAAAGGAGAGCAATGTAATTGGCAGTAAATATACCATTCTGATGTAAGATTCTGTTGTAATGAATACATAGGCCTATCACAGAGGGAAATCTGCATCATGAGCATCGGGTTATGTATGGTGTCATGTGGTGTCAGCATCCCCCTTTGCTTTTCACATTTCCATGGCCAGGCAAGTCAACTCCCCTCCCCATGCCCACCTGTCCGAAGGATATACTCGGTAGCGAAACACGACCCTTTAGAGAATCGAGGGATCGTGGAATCCGATATAGTTAATGTTTAAGATGACTTGTTATGACAAATGATATTCCGCAGAGGAAAGAAATGGGGGATTTAAAAACCTATCTCGTTCTGCATTCAGTAACCAATCCTTCAGGGTTCATCACATTCAAAATATCATATCATAACAACTGATGTCAATTTGTTATGCTTTACAAATTACAATCCTTCGCCGGTCCCTGTGCGGTCACATCTGGCTTATACCTTTATGACGTCCTCGATAAGGCCGACCATTCCAACACTTATATCTTCTATCTGTTCAACTGACTCCGAAAAGATTTGATTCCTTACCTGACCGGTGGGCTTTCGTCACTTGCTTGTGGTTTAGACCACAGGACAATCTGTTTCGATGACGGAGAGTCGACGTACACAGTCATAGAGGAGGGACAAGTTCCACTCACCAAGACCGGCGGTTGCGAATCTTCAGTCTTCCGAACGACTAAAAGGTAAAGAGCGGATCAACTTGAAAAAAATACACCCAGAAAATGCCTTCTCTTTCGTCATTGAAATCATACTAACAGAAGCATTTTTTATCAGGTCTTAACGAGAGGGGGTGGGATTTGCAGATAGATTTTTTAAAAGCGAACCGCCAAACAAGCAAAATAAAAAAGGCAACAATGGGTTGAAATGGACGGAAATTCCATTTTCTTCGGAGTAAACAAAACCTTAGAAGGCAAAGAGGAAGCAAAGGTGACTTTTTATGATTTCATGAAAAAATGCATCCCGTTTCTTTTTTTTAGCCAAGCTGAGCTACCATGGAAAAAGTTGAAGTGGAAATGAAAACTAAAAGTCTACCTTATCCCAGGTTTCGTAACAACGAGGCAGAAGAGAGTACTTAGGAAAATATTGTGGTTTGTTATGCCTGCGTCAGGGTGTTCAATAAGCAAACTGGAAGGCTAAGTTTACATTCCGATAACGATGACACAATTATTCCTGTGACCGAGACAGTGAACCTTAAAACTGTACATATAAAGGGTACACGTGGTTTACAGTGTGGCCTATGTGGGAAATAGAGTTGTTTCATTCAACTGCGTGTTTTAACAGTGATGTTAAGGGAAATAATGCGCAACACGATAGATGATGTATCTTGTGAAAGTGCACACAGTAGAAAATGCATGTTTACGAAGCATTCATTGTATTGTATATGCAATATTGTATATCCAATGCATTTTAATAAAATTTAAATAAAAGATGTTGAGTGATATTTGTGTATAATAAAACTTATAGTACATTTCATACTTCAAAATATAGATAGCTTAATGAATCTACTGTCCCGGTAAACACGTGATCTTTGAAACATTGTAACAGCATTTGCTGAACTTGCTCATATTTTCTTCCAAATCAGATTACATTGTGCTATAGGTACTCACCAGGTACACTCCTTCGACGCCTACGGCGTGCGTACGCATCTACCAAAGAGAATCGAAAAAGAAAAGGGGACTTACAGGGGGATTTGATTATTCACACAGAAAACACACACACACACGTTTACACATTTACGTAACTGCAATACACATATGCTAGTGTTTGGGTAAAATTGAAATAAAAGATGTTGAGTTGACAATAATAAGGGGGGTACTTTGCACTGTCCTGATCTGCTTAATTTACGCTGCTTCAACGTTTCTTTCAATGACACACTATTCAAAGAACTTTTAAACTCCGGCTTATCCACATTCCGACGACAACATGCACTCAGTGCGGAAACTTAAAGCATTGATGCGGTGGTTGTTGCCAAGCCCCCCTCTCCATGACCGCGAGGTTTTGCTGCGGTGAACAGTAAAGAGTTCCTTCAAGTGCTAGGATGTTTATAGGATCGTTTTCTTTTTAGTGCACTTCCAAGCGAAAAACGAAAGGGAGAAAGTTTACATGCGCGTTAGACTTTTCAACAAGTGTAACCCACTCGGTGAAAACGAGTCGCAAGTCGCCAGAGCGACGTTTGAGTTAAAGGCTTTTGACAAAGAATCCAATACAACGTAAAGCAATATAGGAATTTTCCATATTTTTTACCCACATTATATTCATTTTCATCTACGAAAAAACGCTGAACTTTCTCTTTCTAACACTAAATGAAACTAAATGGCGCCAAGGCTCATTTTCACAGAGCGCGTCACAAATGAAAAATGTGCACGCCTTGGTAGCCCGTATGCGCATTCAATCCACAACGTTTTGCCAGTTATTTGACACAGGTCAATAGATTTGCGAACCATGTACCAGACCAAAGATCTTCCAGCCCCCATTTTTGAAAGTGCAGTTTCCTGTATTAACCTTACTCGGTAAATGGACTAACCCAGGAATGTGGGGAGTGCGTGTTGTGCACAAAGAACTTGTGAGTGTCACAATACATGTATAGCTCCCTTCGGCCCGTTGTTAATTTCGGCTCATTGGGTCTCTGTAGTAAGCAGTCTCGCGTGCTAAGGGGCTTGTCGAAGCCATTCACGTTTGATGCAAACTATGGGACAAAGAGACCCCCCCACACCTTTGTGATGGTCATTGTTATACTGGCACCTCAGGAATTATTTTCGGACAACGGCGGGTCGGATTAAATAACAAGAGGCTGGAATGTGTATAGTGATTGGACTTGGGGGGTACCTGTCTGTCGCATTTCGTGCCTGGTATCCATATGCAGCAAGGTATGAGACGGAGAGAACTCCCCCTGCTTTGTGTTGGTCATTGTCTCGCAGGAATCTGGGGAATTCCTTTCAGACATGTTGGGGGATGTGTTAAGTAACAATAGTCTGGAATGTGTTTAGGGATTGGACATGTTGGGGGGTACCCCTCGGTCTCATTTCTTGCTGAGTATATTGGTATGGCCACTCTGGTCGAGTCACTAGAATATCCGCTATGACAGAAAGTATATAGGTTGGAGTAGGCGGAAAAGTCAAATTAGACTGGTTTGGTTATATGCAGGGATAGCTAACAACTTTAAATAATGTCTACTTGCCTGCCGTTGGCAGAAGTGCACAGCCACCCATAAGACGGCTACAAATTTTAAGCAGTAGTTGGTAATTTCATGGCAGATACACTGCGTATATTGAATTCTTAAATGTAATGAAGTTTGTCTAAGACGGTATTTACCTTCAAATGTTTGAATAAGATTATTTAAACCATATTCCAACAAGTGTTTCTTAATTTTTCTCATCTCGAAGCCCCCCCCCACACATGTAGGTCCGTAACACTATCTGATACCATTTATGCCGCTGATCTTCTCCACAGCGCGAAACAGATTTTACCTACCGGTGTGTATTTAGTACATGCATAGCATAATGGTCGAATTAAATTCTTGACCCAAGTTGCAGACCTTGTGAAAAAAACACATACTGAATTGCATTTAGAACAGCTCAGTTTTAAGGCACAGAAAAGTTGGGTATGTTATTTTTGCGATATTATGCAAAGTTTTTCGATTTTCTTTTTGTTTGTGTGGACCGTACCTGCGTTGGTATCGCCCATTCTCTAGCTTGACGCGCGCGTGAGTATGGCAAATCACGACACCCTATTTATTGGTCGGAGAGGCCAGTAACGCGCGCGTACCAGCTGTCCATAAGCAGTCGTCACCGCAGCGAAGACTTCTAATTCTGATTTGATTATGGTAAATCACACAATATTGAGACTCACCCGCGGAGACACTACACTCACGTGCAATGCCCTTTTCAAGTTTAAATGAAGTTTTTGTTTGGTCATGGGCACACAGACCATCACTGTTCATAACAATATGGAATACCATGGATTCAGATGGTTTGAAAGTCAAAATTCAAGGAGTGGTTCTTTTTTGTTTTGATTCTTTTTTTAATCATGCCCAGGGAGCCTCCAGGGCTCTGAATGATAAAAATAAACAGTTGAAACTTTCTCCGGCTAGCATTTTGTAATTAATTGCAAATCTAAGGCAATGCCATACACAAGTAACACGCTGAGTAAGGGAAAAACCACATCCACCGGCAAAAAATTTAATGAGGCCTCACTTAAACTGAGATGTTCTCGGTGTTTCGCATATACATGTACAGAGGGGGTTGACATTCCGACACCTATGGAGTCGAGGACAGTTTGGGAAGGGAGTTCGAGGCAACGCGTGCATACATAAAACGCTATATATTTGTGTCTCGTTTAACCATAGAGTAGCTCTATGGTTTAACAGACTAATAAACATGCCATGTGAACTCACGATACTCACCTGATGCAGGGAGAGTCAGCAGCAAAAGACAGAGGGCGACACAAACGTAAAGATTTGTCTTCGGCTCCATCGCAAAATCTAACTTTCGAAGTTTCGTTGTAAAGACAACTCACAGTCACCCGGATAATCAAGTCTCTTGCAAACGTCTGTGTGATGTGTACACTCGATATAGGCGGCCTAACTGCATGTGCGCGTGACCCCGGTGCTTACACGTACGGGCGTGTCCGTTGTCCTAGTCTCATGTTTCCAGCGTGCTCGGATTTGCAACAGAATGCACCTGAATAAATGTTCATCCGTTGTACTGATTTTTTCCACTCGCACATACGCTCGGGATCGGGGTCTGGTTCCGCATTTGGCACGGTAAATAGGAAGGAATATACAAAGGAGACTGATTCAGAGGGAAGATCGTTAGATCCACATAGTCTAAACATCAGAGCCGCGTGAGAGGGTGTAATTTTCGGTATTTCCTGTAAACACAGAACCCATATAACAATGCTATATAAGTTTGAAACAAAGAGCTTTGAAACAAAGAGCAAGTGCTTTCACTGTGCTCTGCAAATGCCACCGTCATAATTGGGTACGGAGCAAGATAGTTAGCCCTACCCCCAAGAACTGGAGGGTCCGTCGTCCGCAGCGCTCAGACGATGGACTAATGGACCTCACAGTTCTGGGGGTACTTTTACATGTCAGTGTTGTGATGTTCTCATTTACCTGGGGTGTAAGAGTTGATGATACAATCATCTTTGTCAGGAGGGGGTACTTAGCTCAGGAACTGAAAATCTTATCTATTGTAGAGAGTTATGGTCTCAGATCTGAATGGGGAACTGAAAGGAACCGGAAAATAGAAATATTTTTATAAATTTTTACTAAAAACCCTTGAAAAAGCATCTTTGGGTTTCGATTAGCCTTACTTTAAATTTTGATTTTGCAATTTTAACCCACATATTGATGTATTTTGGTTTTTATGTTAAAGCTTATTTGCGTATTCATGAGCAAAACTATGATGTCATCCATGGCACTGAATCTCAATGTTGCACTGATTTGTGCACAGAAAATTTCTAGACTTTTTTAAACACTGCTATGGCAAATTTCATGTGGTTTGGCAATTTATTGCTGTATAAGTGTATAGCAATAATCCAGCAAAACCCTTTTCACAAAAGTGTTCCCAGATAGCAAATTTGGGGATCACAATTCGAACATGAAAACATGCAACCTGTACCAAGTCTTCCTAGATTTACATTAAAGCAAAAGCGCCCTCACTTTTCCAGAAATGCCTGTTCTATTTTTAATGTTTGAAAAAGTGTACCGTTCAGTTCACGTCACTCAAAAAAGATGTTAAACAGTCTTCATACATGGAGAAGAGTACAGAGATACGCAAAAAGTGATTCTAAGAAAAATTCACTTACTGGATCCTTTAAGTTCACAGACAGCTTATGACTGAGAATTTCAACTTTTATTTCATGCATTATTCCACTGATTACGGGTACATGTATATTGTGATAAAACTGCGTTTGAATGCTAAAAACTTAAATTGACCAAAGGAATTACATGTAATTGTATTAAAGACTGGAGAGGTCCCCTGAACCCTATCTGCTAAAAACGGAGATAAATTTTATCCAGACTGGTTCTGCTAGTTAACCAGCATAATCCCCAACTCGTTAGCTAAGGGAATGAGCCAAAGATCAACCCCAGGCTGTTTGGGCCTATCAATACAAATGATTTGAAAGCCAGAGATGAAAGGAAGCCTGAAAGGAATGGACTCATGACGCAAGTTCAAATTCTACGTAAAGTTAAAAAATCGAGACATTCTGGGTACAACGTTCGTTTTATTTAGGTGGATGTTACTGCGTCGCAGTGAAATGAATGTCCTTTGAGTGAATTCCTTTAAATCACACCACTTTCTTGTTTCTTCGCCAACCTTTTTAATTCCGTGAATGGTTTACTGTCAATTTCAGTCACAGATCATGGCCCAAATTTGGTTACTTGGTTGTGCGCTCACGTTGTTGGCTTGATAATGGTGGGGCAGGTAGTCTACATTGACGCCTCGTAACTTGAAAAGCCATCTTTGGAGTGATGGTGTGTTTCTTTTCCTGTTAGAACAGGATCGAAAATACAGATGCAGATGGCATCCTCCTCGTGAATCTCCACGATGTGTTTGTCATGAATATTCATAAGGTAATTGGTGCCATTGCCCTCATCCACCTTGCTGCGTTCGCTGGTCCACTGGCCGCTGTCGTCTTGCCAATGGTAGGTTGCTTGTCCAGACAAGTAATACACGCCTTCGATGTGGTTTCTGTACTGAAACCTCGATCTCAATCCTTGCCGTACAAGGGTGTTGTGGATGCCAAGAGGGAAGCCATCTTGCTTGATGGTGAATCGACGGCTGACGCCTGTCACCCAATCGACTTCCCTGTCATTGCCCACCACCTCAGACAAGCTCCTCACCAGCTCGAGCGACTTGAAGGCTAGTTCGGCATCTGGGTAGTAGACGACAAACACTCGCATTGCGCCCTCCGTCGACAAGGTGTGCGTCAAATCGGAAGAAAGCGCCACCAGTTGGTCCGGCCCAACCAGGAATTCACCCTTTCCGCCGTTTTTTACGCACTTCCCGGATCCAGATATGACGTAATAGTAGTGGACGCACGCCTCGTGGTCTGGAGACCGCAGAGGTACGCTTTCGCCTGCCTCGATGCGAGCCTCGTAAGCTGTAAACCCTTTGTAGTCATCCTCTGAAACCAACTGGACACCGCTGAGGGCGGTATTTGGCAACGTGATGGTGGGTAAATTGCAAGAGTGTGTTACAATCATGTTTAACCGCAAGCCCACTTCAACTGTTGACGAAAAAGAAGGAAAATGGATGTGGTATTGATGCATTGACCCATAGCAAGTTGCCAAAGTTACTTCCGGGAATGTTTAATTTATGTTGTCAAGTGTGGAATTTGGTTTTCTTTGTCCAGTCGAGAAAATGCAACCGTTCAGCAGTGCTCGATGTTGCAGTGATTATGAAGAAATAAGGCATGTTTTGTAGTAGTCTGGTTCTAAGAATTCTGGCAAATACTTAGTTTTGGACAGGTCAGACTGGTCTATACGGCTGGAAATAATACATGCACTATGAAAGCGGTTGCAGCCATTGGCCTTCGACTTGTGTGTTAAAAGAGCACCGAAGTGTGACGTCACTGTGAACCAGAAAGTGCAGTGCAAACGAATGGAGTACGCGCGCGTGTTGGTTCACGCGCTGGTTCTCGCGCTAAAGCCTTTTACACACTAATTGTGCGCGTGACATATTCACTTCGGTACTCCATGCCTGCCAAAGCCAAGTGGTTTTGGCACGGTTTTGAAATTGTCATACTTTATGTAAACAGTATAGCGGTTAACCGTATTAGAGAGATGTTTATGAATTGCTATGGTAGGGAACTAATTTAAGGTCCCAACAGTTTTCGATACGTACCACATGCACTGAGCTAAAAATCTGCAGCGTTGACCTGAATGACGGAAATTGCAAAAAAATGGACGTTTGACGCGACTGCCATATTTCTGACATTTCTGCCGACAGTTCGACAGGCTCTGCCGATCTTACCAGCTGAAATCTGGTGTAAACGGTTAAACTTGACCCCCTGGTAAATGTGTCCTACCCGGACACTTTTACCATGTTGCGATCCGGTAAATCTAGGTAAATCTATCCCCCTCCAGGCAAATTTGTTCCCATGCTCAACGGTAAATTTGTTCCCCCCCCCGCCGGAAACGTGTCCTCCGCGGAACACCACAAGTCTATCACCCAGACTGTGAACACCACTTTATTTCAACTGCTTTCGTGCAGCGTTTAGACAGACGCCGTGTTTTTTTTCTGGAAGCTCGTTACGTCGAAACACGGTGGTTGGATGAGGGGAGCTATCCTGGACAATCCTTCGACCATGGTTCGCGCGCTGCGGCTCGGCGAGACGGCAAGATGACAGGTAGATTCGAGTGGTTGTTATAGCTCCCCAGCGCCGCGCCGAGAGACTGAGAAGTACTACGCGTGCAAAACGTATGCAGGTTACGGATTGCTACCTTTTCCGATTTCGTGCTGAAACATAGTTCGGTTGATGTTACATCTCATATCCCCCAAATTTTGACAGCTTGATGAAAAGCTAAAAGAATGTATTTCATGTGGACTAAATCTATCCATCCAACACGTGACAACTTCTGTGTCGCAAAATGGCGGGGGGGGGACAACATTTCCTGGAGGGGACAGAATTACCATCTACACCGGCTGCCGAAATGTTAAACTTTCTTGAATCCATGGAAGAAACTTAATGTTGAAAGTCAAATAAAAAACTGTTAAGAAACTCCCTAAATATGGCTTAATGTTATTATGTTTCTGCTGAAAGCAAATCAGGCTTGGGGTCAAAACTCAGGGAACTATATATTCGTGAAAGTGAAACGCGGCACTGACCCTTAGACCAACTCACCGGGGTTCGCAAAACTCTGTGGACATGCCTATGACATGTACTACGACTTGGTCGGGTACAGTTCGCACCGTTAAATTACGCGTGTGTTTAATGGGTTGAGACGGTCTGCAGACACTAATCCAGCAACTGAACAACACTTCATCATCAAACACGCGTACAAACATTTTTTATACGGACCCTTATCCACAGTGAAATTTGGACTCGAATGAAGTACGGTCTCGTTTGTTCTTCCTGGTTATTTCGTTTATCCACAACTGGCTTGAGATAAAGGACGACGGGTTAGAAATGGGTCAAGGGTTGCATGGGTTAAGGAACAATGTTGAGATTAAAATATAAATGGACTACTTGTTATTTGTCTGCATGCCAGGATTCAGAGAGCATGTGTAAAAGATAAAAAGAAGTCGGTAGGGCAGGAAATAACAAACCGTGTCCACATCATATTCTTCATCCTCATTTGTTTCCTTTGTTAGTCTTTAACGTAACGAAGGCTTAAATTTAGTCTGCAGTTTTGTCACTACATGCGGTGTCACTATATGCACAATGTACGTGTGCCTGTACCCACCTGCACGTACTGTACTGAGAACATTCGTTGTGCGCAACTCGTCTCTGAACATAGTCGTAAGGTGAGTGCAAGCAACGTCCACGCGTTGTTTTTCAAAGTGCATAGTTTGTGTGTGAGTAAACAAAGTGCAAAGAGTTCCTGTTGCACTTTTTGAAACTCCCAAAATGTCGCAATAGATTATCCTTTAATCGTTTTAAGTTGATTCCTATGCAACAGGATCATTAGGTTTTATTTGCAACTTACGGCACTGGGAAAAAAGCTGAACTTGTACGAATTCTAAATGTCAAAGTTCAGGATGCTGAAGCGCCCCCTTCCCCATTTGTGTCACAAGAGAGTACAGTTACATTAGAACTAGTCGCTTGAGATGAAAACTCTGGGGAGGGCGGAGGCGCAAACATCCTTAGGTTTCCCGGTGCAGAACTAGGGAAATGGCATGAGGCAGGACAGAAAGACCTCTCGGCCTGAAGATGTTGGTAATTGGAGGTGGTACTGGTAGTTTGTTAACTGAAGCAACAAACATTGAATACTTGATTTCATAACAATAACAATGAAACCTGTAGGTTGAATGACTGCATCAGGTATGATTAGACCCACTAACTTTGGCGTTTGAACTTCTTTTTCGAAAGTTGGACTTAAGGTTAGTATCACTGATCAAGTCCAAACTTCGAAATAAAGAAGTTCTGGCGGTAGTTATGATATCAGTGAACAAGATGAAGGTCAGTCACCGCCAAAATGTTGAAAGACATGAATCTGGGACCGAAAATTATTTCAAATGTTTTTTTAGGAAATGCTTCGAAATAACACTAAACACGCGCGACTTTGTACACAGCCAACAAAGTGGAGTCAGGAAGCCGGTAGTCTTTCTAAACCATTGACCTATGGAATATGAACTAGCTCATTCCCATGTTTATGTTATTGTCATGGGCCAACATCACCACGGGTTGTCTGTGGCCACCAAGCGCGTGAAACATCATACAGAAAACTGCTAATGAACACATAAAATATTTCAAATTTACCCGACATTTTCACATTAAATAAAACTATAAGCTTACCGATTGTGTTTGCATCCAACTCTGCAAAACGTAGGATCGAGGAACCTTGCTAATTTCACCTTGATATAGGGAATAATGTCGGTACATGTACAGTTATGCACTCTGAGAGATTTAATGTAGAGATGAAAAGATCATTGTCATATATCGCATCCGAATCGCGACATGAGAGTTTTACCCTTGACCTCGAAAGAAACCAATTTCAGTAGAGGGCTCCCCAACGAATGATTGTGGCCGCGAGCTTACCCAATTTAACACAAATATGAAATGTGAAGAAATGTCTTAATTTTTATGCATGTGGCCCTAACACGCTACTAAAAAAAACTTTCCACTTTAGGTGCAAATGCAATTACAAATGTAGCAAACCTTTTCAGTAGCAAACGACATCCTATTGGTTGAAAAGGCATGTAACACGAGCGTACCACCTCTCTGCAAGCGTGCCTCCGGGTCTGCGTAAGGGCCACTATTCAGGGTAGATTTTGACTTTGAAACGACTTCTTTTGGCACTTAAGATGTTCGTATAAAAAATCGTCACTTGTCCTACATCGTACGCGTTATTACACTTTGATGCATTGCGATTGATCCAGTCATTTCCTTCCTCCGTGGTCGATCGCGCCCAGCATAATGAAAAAACGTCGGTAATTTTCGAATTGGCATCTATAGAATTCTGAACTTCGAAAGGAAAATAGCCTAACCATTAAACGTAACCCGTTGAATGGCAAAAAAGTCTTCAAATTGCTCAATCGTGGCGACAACTACCGTTCAGGCCTAGACATAAACGGTGCGTGCATGCAACGTCAACAAAACTCCCAGATAAAATCCCGTTAATAAACTGCTTTACCCTTCAGATTATGAATGTAGGCTTCTGAAAAAATGCTTGAATTTTTCACTAAGCTATTGCTCTCCACTACTTTTGGAGTCCTTTTGACGTAATCCTCCACAAACCCGAAGGTTATGTCGGGAACCTAGGAAAGGTCCCTTCTGTTTGCAGCCATCGTGACTGCAGACTTGACTCAAGGTCTCTGTGACGTCTTTGTTTCTGCTTGGATCAAAACCGCGCGCCGTTACTTGCTTCGCGCCCCTTTGGGGGTTGTGTTTGCTGCCGGGCCAAGTGCGACGAACTTGTATACGTAAGTAGTGCGTACCAGCTGAAGGGATGGCTAATGAGGGAAGGGCAACGTAAGTCCGACTTGATTCAAGTCTATCGTGACTGGCAAGTCACCTACAGCCCCGTTTTCAATTGCCCACGTACGTATGGGTGTAGTCCACTAATTCAGGCCCCATTGAAAACAGTGTAAAATGAGGCATCTGAAACACACGTTAAATTATTGTATGGTCCATAATCTTGCACTTTCTTTTCAATTTTCTGTGGGTTAACCGATTACATTTTGAGTTATATTCCCTCAAAACAAAATTGCCCCCCCCCAAATTTTTTCCAAAGTCTGCTTGCAGCCATTTTTCAAGTGAGAACCCTCAACTTTCTCGGACACTTAGGACCATTTTTCAACAGTATTTTTAGCCATTCTGCTGTCAGATGAAGCCCAAAGACCCAGGGAGTTCATTCTGGCAAAGATTTACACCATCTCACCATTTTGGGGACATACAATCTCCTTTTTCTAAAGATAGGCCTACTGTGGGGCACTTTTAATGCTAATGAGCTGGTCCGAAATTCTCGCTTGAATTAGTGCTCTGCACCCTTTAGTTTCAGAGGGAAACCATTAACTGCGCATGTCCCATATGTAGTATCCTTTGCATACGTAATGAGGGCCAGAGGACCTCGTGCCAGGCAAGCAGCTGCTTCATTTCATGAAATTTACGTCTTATTTTCACTTTTTGGAAATAAAAATACCTGCTCAAAAATATTTTCGGAGGGTCTTAAAATGAAAAAAAAAAAAGAATTATTAAAACGTTGACATGAATAAAACATTATTACCTGTCTCGATTTTCACATGCACGGCCCCTGGACAATGCCTAATCAGATCCCCTTTAACTAAAGCAGATTTTACCAATACCAAATCATGGACGGTGTGCCAAACAATGGAAATTTCAGCGGTGTTTCCGCTAAGACATGGAGATTCAGTTACGCAATTAATATTATTATCGCAAGCTGTCACCATGTAATGCAGATACAATACACACCAGGGGTGCTGACGATAGAAGCTGAAACCAAATTATGTTTGTTATGACACTATTAACTAGCAGAGCGACAGCATATCCATCCAGAGAGATCTCCTTCAACTTATAAAGACACTTAATTTCAAGCGCTATTGATTCTCGCGATATCAACATTCGGAGTACGAAAGTTTTCAACCAAGATTCCTGAAAGGAAGGACTTCTCCCCACAATTGTCAGCGTTTCGTTTCCACTGGGTTTATAATGGAACTGGATGATGAAGTGTTTTTCCAGTTTGCATGCAACTCCATGGTTGGGTTACTAAATACGAAAGACATTCCTGGAACACTTCTATTGAATAATCATTCATTACACACTCAGGATTTTTGTGTCCAACCGCAAGCGGTGTCGTGTTGCAACGCTGGGACTCCGTCGGGACTTCCCCGTCCAACAGTACTACAGGTATTATGACAATAAACAATATCCGGGTTACAGGCTTGCAGACAGCGGTGTCAGTGGCAAGAAGTAAAAAACTCTGATCATTTTCACTTGATTCTCCCATAAAATCTTTACAATTTCTTTAAAATAGAGCGGAAAAGTGTATAGCCAGTCAAGGTATGTTGTATAACTACTTGTTGAAATGTCACAGTTCCTGCTTGGACATAGGAGGTTGTTCATTGGCCTTGCTGTTGGCTTGGAGCGACGGTGCGCTTCCAGCATGCGACACCTTTCCAAAGTTCTTCAGAAGTTCCTGGGAGAGGAAGGTCAACACAGTGTGTTTTACATGATCATACAACCTGGAAAACAACCTGCATCAAGGGCACAGTAGTGAATTTACTTTGGGATTCAAATCCACACAAATGACTCCAATTTTCAAAACTCTTTAACAATCCATTCGATGAATTTTTGGGTGATATACTCTGTGTGCAACTTCCTAACTCTTGGCTGTAACATTCAGATTTCTGCCCAAAATGGCATGACAGTTTTGGGTGTGAACTTGGAAATTATTGTCATGAAAAAGGAAAGAGCGTGCGAGCACTCCTTAAAATGGCAAAGCAAAAATTGAGCATCGGGTTAAATCACAATGGCACACATTTTCAAAGAATGCCATAAACATGTAAAAGTCATTGTGTGTACCTGTTTTTGTTTTGTGATCTGCCCATCGACGATGTCACCCAAGACCATCATCTTCTGTCCCAAATTGATGGAAAAGGGCAGAAACTGAGGAAGGCCATAGAAGGAAGATAATATTTCGTTAGCTTTATCCCGGTCATGATTTTTTGAGAACGCAAGGGAGCAAATGCCTAAAACTCCCGGTTTTTTTTTTCAATTGAGTCGGACGAGTTTATGTTGCCCATAGTCCTTAGCTCATTTTCAAGAACAGTACCGGTACCCATTTCGTGGAGGTGATCGCAAAACGGCAGCTCAATAAATTGACCTGTTAAGCCAAGAAAAGTGACAGATTGTCACAGAGAACATAAATCAGTGAAGTTGTCGTTTGGTTCTGTGCTGTAGGCAATTCAATTTGTATGGGGTCATTGCACACGCTGTATCTAGACGACGACTCTCTGCATGCACGGAGCGGATATGTTTCTCAAGGAGCACAGTGCCGAAATGTTTCAAGTGGCCCACCTTGTTGATATCTTTAGGAAACTTTTCTGCGTCCTGTGATGCTATCTCCCCATCGCCATCGATGTCAAGTATTTGGAATATCTGCAGGATAGATTAATTCACGGAACAAGCGTGAACTCAAATGGACGGGGGACAACGACGACCGGCTGGATGAATTTACTGAGCTAGCAGTGTTCTCATGTGATTCCGAATTGTCACTTTTTGACAATCAGCCCAAGGAGCGAAACTGGGACTTTTCTTTTTAAACGTCTTTTCCCCCTCCTTGCGTCGATAAGTAACCCATAACCTTTAACGTTTAAAATCATGCGAATCTGAGCGCAGGTTATTTAAAATCAATTCATTTTTTTCTGTTGGAAGGAAGACTTAAGCTTGAAACGGCACCCAAAAGAAATAAGAAATCCTGTTACCTGGTGTACGAGACCCAAGGCCTCCTCGGTCCAAATGTTACCGTGATCTTGTCCTGGCATTATCTACGATGGAAAAACCGGATCAGGTCGGATGTGACAGCCAAACTCGAGTTATGGTTTGATTTGTAGGTTTTTTAATTTCTAAACGGTGTCTTAATCGGATCAGCTTCACAATGAAGTGGGGCTTGACTTGATTATGTTCACTACACGTGACAAATGGCAAGTGGTGTCTAACGGGCAAGATGTACTAGCAACAAGTGTGTGACAAATACAGATCGAGTACTCAGTGACAGGTTCTGCTGAATCCGTTGATCTACCGAAGAATGCACGTGACATGAAGAATGATAAGAAATATTTACAATATGCCATAAGAAAAGGTTTTGCTTCGCCGTTACCATGTCCATGAATTCCAGAAACTGCCGCTCTGTCAACGACTCGGTCTCCTTTTCGTCCATGAATGCCATCAAATTTGCCCTGAAATCGTTATCAGACAATAAAAAAGGTGAAACGTCCTCTTAAATAANTTCTGAAACATACGCGATCTCCTTCAGTCAGACGTTTTGCTTCCTGTGTAGTGAGCAAGTTTTGTGGGGGGCACTACAGGGAACGTAATGCGACTCACGACGGGTCCTCGACGAAATCCAGTTCTGGGTGGAGATCTCGCCGTTTGTAAGCGTCTGGCTCTTCGTGGTAATAGAAGCGAACATCGGCCAGCGAGAGCCCTGGATCAAGCCTCCCGCAGGACTCCGGGCTGGGCACGGCGTAGGCTTGGTGATTCCACCATATGTTGACCGCAACATTGCTGCCATGCGAATTCACCTGATGTATCCTAAATACATGCAGCAAGAAACAGCGGAATTTTAGAGAAGCGATAAAATTGTTTTATGGTATGCAACGTGAGTTCTCCTTCAGTAAACGCTGTGTCTTCCCTCGTCAACTTACAGTAAATAAGGAGAGGACGTTTTAAAGTATCTATAATAATAATGCTTTATTTAGTTTGAATATAATATTAATAATTAATATTAAGAGGTACGTAAGCTACCATCATGCTAACGATCACTTGAGATATGAAAACTGACAGTCACTTCAAGTGTTAAGTTTAACTTCACTTTTTTACTCAACAGGTGAATTGGCCACGAGTGTGCTCAATACCATACCGCCCGTGTGAACCATGCGTTGCAGTTCAGAATTTGGGGAAGCAAGGGGCTTTTCATGTTCACGGTCCCTAGACAGTCTACTATTCTGAATACAATGAAGAAAATTTATTGAGCCACGTTCTTGCTACTTTTTCTCTCCAGCTTCAGTAAACACAACAGGTCAAAATTCATGGCCGGAAGGTATAGCGTGAAACGGTCGGAGACTTCCTCATATACCTGTCGAGCGGGCAGAGCTACATGTAAGTTTGGGTCATCTCATGAACACTGTAGCCAAACCTTCACTGATGATATTCGTTGCCCGTTCAACGCACATTGGGTAGGCCCACATGTAGCCAGGATTTCAGCTGCCCTTTTACAAAGTAGAATTTTCCTCCCGTTTAACCTATTTTCATCCAGCCAGAATTTGCTTCATCAGAATCCTTATGTTGCTTTTCAAATCTAATCTCCACCCTGCCACAATCTATGCACCCCCTCACTCAATACAGACTTTGATCAGTGGCGTAGACGGGAGGGGGTGCTGGGGGCACGTGTCCCCAAAATTCCTCAGGTGCTCCCCCTCTAAAAAACCGGGATAAATGGATATTGAACAAGGCTAAAGAAACTTGCCCAAAAAAACATACCTGGTGCCCCCCCCCCATAATTAAGATGCTGGTGTCCCTTTTGTGCCCCCGACTGAAATCCCAGCTACGCCACTGCTGTGTGTATGTGGGAAGTGCTTCTTTCGTATACGTGTTTGGAAGGATTTTTTTCATAAGCATTCACAAAACGAACAAGCTCTTATTCAAAGCGAAAAAGGTTTATTGCTGTACTTTTAATGTTTATGAAAACAGATGTCATTCAACACTGCACGTTCTTCAAATTTATATTCTGAACAGTATGTGGACTGTTGATCAAAAATGCAAGCACAGAAATATTGTCTACAACCGTACATTTCCTGTAAAGCAAGATTTTTGACATTTGCGAATGTTTGATTTCGTAATGAAGACAATGCACCCTGTACAAAGATTTAGCCTTTTTATACCTATTTCCTGCTTCGAGCTAAATGTGTAGGCACGACTCTTGTCATTTCCACTGACGGATTGCATGTAACATTGCTATTTGGCAGAAGTTTCTTGCGTTTCAGCGTCTTCCGGCAGCAGTTTCACAGAAGGCCAGGTGGTCTATATAATGTAAAAGCCCAATTTTTCCCCGGACTTGTTTTCATTGATATTTTGTTACATAAAAGTGGGAGGCTGTTTCCCGGCATCAGAAAACTAGAACGAATCAGCATATCCGTTACTTCGGCGTGAAATTAACGGCTGGAGTTTTTCCACTAGTTAACACATCCTAATGTGTCCGGGACAGATAAAATCTAAGGCCGAACAGCTTTGTACATTGTAGGTCCCTAACTATGGGAGCTGCAAAACAGGATATCGGAGCGTTCTCTGGACGTTCAGTATTGCCATTGGGTCATATAGCGCTGTCAGCTTCCGTTGAAGAAAACATACCCCGCGGATCAGAAAGCTCCAACTGCATGTCAGCATGTGGCCTAATCGGGTGACATGAAAAGGCTGGAATCTTCCCCGGACTTGTTTTCGTTGATATTTGATCATATAGAAGCGGGAGGCTGTTTCCCGGTGCACCGGGAAACAGCCTCCCGCTGTGTGAAAATTATTGAAATGTAAAACAACAAAACCCCTGGCAGACCAATTGTTGATTTGAAATTTCTGGTTGTTTTCTATCCTCTAAAATCTCACTGAATCGAAGTTTCGTTTCTCATTCGCACTTGTGCACTAAATCCTTTATGTCAGAGCATGGCAACTTCATGGCTTGCTATCCACTAGTGGGAAAAAGATAGGCAACTTCATGGCCTGCTATCTACTTGTGGAACAAAGATAGGTGGTTAAGTACAAATCCTCACCATTTGAAGGGGAGGTAGAGGCAGTTGCCGGCTTCCAGTTTAGCCTCCATGAACTCGAGGTTTCTCAGTCCGGGAAATTTGTTTAAGTCAACTCGTTCAACGTCTACGCTCGAGTAGAATCCCTCTGGGTGGTCGTAGACAATCTACAACATTTAGAGGCATTTGTGCAAAACAAAATGGCTATATTGGTTTCGAAAAAAATTACTGTTGATATGCGAAAGACAACTTCCGAATCAGAATAAAGGCCTTAAATATTTAGCCCACGTTCTTAAATCAATTATATATAACTTAAATCAAGAAAATCTTGATTTCTAGTGATTTCTTTGATCCGGAAAAGACTTTACACATCTGTCCTGTCACCTCCCCAGACATACTATCACAAAACGTGAACGGGCTTACCCAGGGGTGGATCCAGAAATTTGTCCAGGGGGGTCAGGCCGGCGATTTGTTTAAATTTCTCAGTTTTGCAGATAAACGAAAACGATAATGAAATATACACGACATAATTTGTGCACTTACTTTACTCTTTAGTTATTTTGTATTATTCATCACATTTTAAAACTTTTTTTGGTTGTCTAAGAGCGGGGGGGGGGAGTTCCCCCGGAATGTCTGGATTTGGAGGTAAACATGAAGTACATGTACTTCTAATGACAAAAAAAATGCAAGCCGCGAGGTCTTTCGTGACCGGCCAGCCATGCATAATATCACCTCTGCAGTTCAGAAGCGATGTTTACCTGGTCTCTGTACTTGGTGTAATTGACAAGCAGGAAGTCTTTCTGGCCTCTGAACACACAGTTGATGATGTCTACGTAGTCGGTATGCAAATGAGACTTGGTACCGCCGCTACTAAACCAAAGCATCTGTCAAAACGAGGAAGAGGAATGCTTTTAGTACCCACAAATTTTGCAAATGATTCATTGCGTAATTTGCTGTTTTGGAAATATAAGTAAATCATGAAAGACAAGGTCAAGGTTGATGTAGTCAGAGGGCTATTCCGTTGGTCTGCCGGTTAGTCGGTCGGTCTGTTAGTCCGTCGGTCGATTAAAAGATCTGTTGGTTGTTCAGTACGGTTTGTTAGGTGATCTGTACGTCCTCCTGCCCCTTATCAAATAAATCCCAAGCAGTAGTTCATACTAAAACTGTCTTTTCATCTCTAAAGCAGTATACTTACCGTTTCCAGCAAATTCGCTGTGACGTTTGTGCAATGCAAAGATGGCGGAAGTAGCACGTCTTTCCTGAGAGGAGACAAAGTCAAGGAACAAGACAACATAAGACAGAAAGATAGCAAGAACATGAGTCAAAGCCCGTGTTCATTTCATTACGGGAAACACATGATATAGTTACGACGTTACTGAGTAAAATGGGTAGCACAGGAATGAGAAAGTCCCCACACTTACTTCAAGTAATCTGGAACTTTTGCGACAAGGTACTCATCGTGGGTTTGATATCTGTCGAGGAATTCAGCCAAGGGCATCTCCATCCTCGGTAGTTGTCTTTCCTCCACCTTCCGCATCTCCACACGGATCAGTTCCTGAGACTCGGGCAAGCTCTTCAGGTACTCGTCGGTCCACTTCCGGAAGGCCGGCGAACGCCGCGCTCCCTGCCTGACGAGAACAGGAACTGAAGGGTAGACATAGTCGCGAAAGAACTCGGACGGGGAGGGGAACTCCTCGATGACCGAGACGGGGAGGCGGGTAGACTCGGAAGCCAAAGGCTTCAGGTGGCCGGGTGGGAACGAGGTCTTGGAAGAGGACTGATCGTGAGAATGAGCCGATTGAACATCTTCAGCAGCTGAGAAATGTAAGGATGCTACGAGACATACAATGAGTTTGGCCGTTATGTCTGCAGTCTCCATACTTAAACTTTCGATGTGTACCCACAAATGGTTGTGAATTCTAAATATCAAACGCTGAATAGAGCAACATCAATGTCTGCTCAGAACTGTCGCACTAAGGTCTAGCTCAAAAGTGTTTTTAGAAGCGTGCAAATAGGTTCTCGGAGTCTGGGTAAACAAAAAGGGTCGCCACGGGCGATCGAGTGCGATCACGTATGTGCAAGTCCTACGGCTGAGGGGCCTGTGCGTCGACCACTTGCTTTCATGCACCTTTCCGGGAGAATTGGCCCGTTATTGTTATCCATGCTAGACAATACTGCAAAAAAGGGAACCACTTCGAAAATTCCCCCACCGTCCGTGACGTCCACCTCTTGTGTCCAATCAGTGTTGAGCTTCCGTATGGTTTACATCGAAGGCGCTTAACTAGTCACCCTTCTTTGACCCCTGCATTGCGCAGTTTGCTGGAGCTAGTCAACGCTTGACGGGGCGGAGTCTACCCTCTCGGCGATAATTAAAGTCGAGCACAAGGCAAATTGACTTCAGTCTTCACTCTGCGATTTGAAAATCATGAAGTTATTTTTCGAGGCTGCTGTGGCTTTGTTTCTTGTGCTTTCTCCCCTGGCATCAGGTAAGTTTATTATTTCCCAACGCATTTTAACTGCAACAGGTCCAGTGACTGTTATGCAGCTTTTTGACTGGAGCTTTTTGATGGACAATAGAGAACATTTTAACTCTGTGGTCTGGCTACCTGTGCTGTTTCTTTGAAGGCGCACACCGGCCCAATTAAATTGATTTGACCAAATTATTTATTTCAAGTTTTTCATTATTACTGAGAATATTGAACAATTCAGGGAAAATAGGAACCCGATCCAGTCTCTTACAGTTTACAAATGATGAAAAATGCTAACTTTGTATCTGATGTGGTAGCCGGGATTTTAAAGCTATGTATTTTATTTTAAATTAATTCACTGTATAGCCAACGAGAGTATGCCCAGCAGTCGCGTTAAGATTTTTTTTTCAGTTTCTTTTAATTCCAGGATGTAAAACATCTCAGCGTTTAGCAAAATAAAAGACATATGCTCATGTACGCACACACATACTGTGTGTCGGAAAGGTGTATCACTGAAGCACACCTACTGCTGGGTATTTGGAGTAGTACACTATGTATAGACGTTTGTTTCACCCGCACTTTTCAATTGCGCATGTCTGATCCTGTGGATTATTTGCAGACGTATAAAGGTTATACTTTTCATACCATGAAAAAATGCACTTTTTGCAAAATTGGGGCACAAAAAAGAAGGCAAATATTATTTACACAGCAGGGTTAGACTGATCTCTTACACATTCATAAAATGGAGACATATATTCATATCAGAGTGTGCCCAAACTGTGATTACTTTGAACCAATGCTCTTATCCCAGAGAGAAGTTTTTACGTTTGGCAAGGTATTTTAAGATCTGAAACAAAAATTCAGTTTTTCGGATGTTTCAAACGCATAAGCTGTGGTGGGGAAAGGCATGAATTCAGGTTCACAGTTCATATTGATAGCTTTTGGCTGGAGTTTTTCTTCTCCGGACCGGACTCCGCACATCTAGCAAAACGGAACACCGATGCTGAGAATTCCCACATTCCGCAGTAATCGTATATTAAGCCCGTGTGGGTGTCACAAGAAGTACACTTTTGAAACCGAGGTCTATTTGCTATTATATGGCATAAGTGCCCGGTGTTGCATGCAATGTACTAAAATAACAAAGGCCTCATTCAAGCACAATGCCGAGGGCCAAGGGCACCGTTTGTAGTCAGTGCACGCGTACATGTTACGTGCGTAAACCGTGAAAACAGCCATTGCAGAACTAGATTGCGCTGCGTAGACGGCGTCTAGAACAGCCCATAAAAGTCAAATAGAAAATACGGTTCTTGATGAAATCAATGGCATTGTTAAGTTTTGTCCATAACCTTTCATATTCAGTATTTCGTTGAACTGCAAAATGGGAATTTCCAAAATGGAAATGTTTCATGTGTTTACCAAATACTTTTTGATAGATTTTGGATTCACTTTTTTACTTTGCAGTATGCTGTTTTTTTCTCCAGGTCCTCTCTGAGTAAAGACACTTAGTTTTACTAGTAATATGAAACTGTTGTGCATTTTGCGCGTGCAACGTCTTCAAATAAAAAGGCTGAATAAAGGACGGGCAAAATTAAGACTTATCCGTATAATTTAAATATCCCATATTGTAGGATATACGAAATTACCAGGGGTTAGATCGCGTAAGGCATGGTGGGAACCAACGTGGCGCGGTAAGATCGTACCCGTGGGAACGAAGTTGGGTCCGATATCACCCAATGTCCACGTGACCAAGACTGGAGGAACTCCTTTAGTTTTCCGGAAACAGCAGAAATATTCCTAAGTCGTCCCGTCCGTATTCGGCATGTTTGGATGGTACCGTTGATGCTCGGCTATTCCCGGCTGGGTAGGTATGGGCTAGATTGAACATAAACTCCCGTATCCTATGGCAGCTGTTGATCCTATACGATATTTGAATTTACACTGAAATCGAAGGTCGCCTCGGCCGAAATCAATGCCAGACGAAATGCAGAATATAACTTTCTTCGACCAATGCAGGCTTTGTGCCTGAAACATCCTTTCATTGGGGTCATGATACACTTGCTGTATTGCCCACTGGATATGGGAAAAGCCCTATTATTTACATGTTGGCACTGACGAAATCGAAAACACCCGGGGTCTCAACCTGTGACCCTTGACCCTTTATTCATATCTATTTATGTCCGTGAGTGATGCCTGAGCTAAGATTTTTTTATCAAGAGTCGTCAGTGAATCTTTGGGCACGGAACCACACTACGACTGTTGCAGCACAACGCGTGACAGTTGGTACACGCGCGATTACATGCCTAATCGACTAATACGGGCGATTACAATAGTGCACCGTGCACCAAGAGTTTGCAACACGTTGGCCAATCATAACGCGCGAAATTTGTCAACCCTTTCCAAACGCGCATTGGGTCGACAAATTTCGCGCATTGTGATTGGCCAACGCGTTGCAAGCTCTTGGTGGCGCACTTTTGTGAAACGGCCGTATAGGGTGCGTCGTGATTTGCCAAATGCAGGCGCACGTCAAGCTGAGGAATGTGCGTGTGAGTGCGGTTCCACGGTAGTTATGGGTTCTGATCTGATTTCCTTTTCCCCCCATCCCTTTCAGATGCATGCCGTGGTGGTCGAGGAGGCGGAGGTCCACGTAAGTACCACTTGTATGAAAGTTTAGAGATGGCCTACACAATGCACTTCGCCTATAAAATATCACAGTCACAGACTGACTCAACTTATGCCAAAAAGTTTACAAAGATACTGTGTTTCAGAGAATTAGATTTCATTGTAATGATCTCCTGGAATTATTTTACAGCATGTTGGAGACTTCCTTCTAAAAATCCTCATGTTTTACATGCTGTCTTCTTTTTCTCCTTTTCTCTTGAACCTCAAGCGTGATGCTTGAAACTGCCCGATTTATACGCGCACCCTGATGTTCGCATCAATGTTATCAACAAACAGACTTGTTTGTTCACTTCGTTCTCGGAATGAGGGGTCGTTTTATTTTTCGAAGTGTCACACGCTACCCGGTTTTCCGCTGGTATCGGCTTTAGTTAGATGATATACGTCCGCTCTTCTTCTGCCTGACCTTCCCGATGTATACCGGTACAGTATCAGGCGTGGGATACAGAAAGGAAGTCTCGTAATAGCATTGGTTTATATCTTGTGGGTTTCACTATACGACGTTTCCCTGCGAGTCGGATTGTCACCTAATCGTTTTGGGTACATTATTGGGGTCAAGGCCACTAACAATTTAAGGAACCTGCTTGCCCTGCTTGCCTCTGTGATGATTACCCTTTGCGAACACATGCCCCTCGTCGGGGTACCGTGCCCCGGCTGCCCCCCCCCCCATCAGAAATTTTGAAATGTACACAACCTATATGTGCAAGCCTCAACTCATCGGCTTTTTGTCGGGCCTCTCCGAAAAAAATCATAAATGCATCATGGCCTAGAAATGACATCCCAGCTCCACACCACTGCAGGGATCATCCAAACAGCTAAAAAGAGTTAGTGTTTACAAACACGAAACTGAAATGCACCTTATAAGTGTGCGTACATTGAGTTCATTGAGTTGCTGTCCATTACTCAGCCAGCATGGGGCTATTAAAACTCATGCAGCTAGAGAATAAAATAAAAATGCAAAGCGTAAAATTGAGAAATAGGTTTGTGGGTACACCATGGAATCAATCTCTTTTGGGAGAGGTGTGGTTCTTAAAAGAACCGGTGAGTACAAACTCGACGTTTCAGCCAGTGTGCTCTGGCCGTCCTCAGGAGAGTTGATACTCACCGGTTCTTTTAAGAACCCCACCTCGTCCGAAAGAGATTGATTCCATGGTGTACCCACAAACCCATTCCTCATGTTTCGTCCACCATGCAAAGCTTCAAATTTTACTTATCAAAGCGTAAAATTATTTCTACCAGCAAATTTGCCCGTCTGCCACGTGACCAGTTCATAAGCGGCGGGAAAGAAACCGAGGCTGGGAGTTGGGTGCTCAGTTACAAAATTGGCCGAAATTGATATGGAGTCGCCACGGCTGGACGACGGACATAATTACGTGCCTGTGGTAAATACATGAAGACACTGACCGAGTGATCGGACACCACGCGTGTTCAACTTTTGAAAATCACGGCCCAAATATTTGGCAGTGACGTCATAAATTCAAATTAAGCGTCGCCTCGTTGGCATATTTGCACTGACTTACAGACTTCACTTGCTGAAGAAAGCGAGTCTTTGTTTCCGATGGACAATAGCGGCACCCCCCAAAAAAATGACGAAACGAGGACGAAATCGAACTTTGCCGACAATGGCGAAGGGAGAGGGGTTACACTCCCGCGCATTCAGAGCTACGATCCAGTCCTGGCATCTTATTTCAATATGAACATTAATTTCCCGGATCATAGTTCTCATTCTATGGTTGATCTGGCTTTTAAGGCTGAGTGGTGACCGTGGGAGATGTGCAAAGGGTATGTCCTAAATTATTGTTGATGTGCACTTTAGTGGCCTGGCGCACTTTGGTTGTTTCCCCTTGTTGCCTTGCCGACGCAATAGTTTTTACCTCAAATAACATTACAAGTGAAATTTCATTAAACTCCCGATTGTGTAATCCAAAAATCTCGATTTTACTCACCTACTACAAAGTTCCGATGGAATTTTTTTTTTGGGGGGGGCCTCGATTTTCAGATTTTTTTGAAGTGCAAAATGGACAGTTACAATGCGCCGAAAAAAAAACCCGAAAATAGTTTTCTAACAAACTTGTGGTTAGGTGTGTAAGTGGATGTTTCGAGTGCGCTCCTGAAGTGTTTGCTTTTTTTTCGCTTACTCGCGTAGCCCCAGACACGCAACCACCGGAACTGGTCGACGGAACTTGTCCTTCCTCGCAGACTTTACATCCAGATGCTTTGTCACCGGGCAAGATTTTCCGATGGGTTGAACCAAGAGCAAGCGACAGAAGCGCGCCGGTCACGTAAGTCTTGATGAATGTGGTCCATGTTTTGTTCTATTTCTTTCTTCTACTAGTGAAACTAGTGCCCAGTATAGCCTATCCGCAAACCCGCTGATTTGATCGGTTATGATTTTGTTCGAAAGCAAATTATATGGCTATACGACTTTTTTCGACGTGTTGGGCACTCCACAAAGCAACGCGCTTCGGGACACGGAATGTGTTCGCAGCTGCAGTACCATGCTCAAAATTAAACTGCCTCAAAACCGGATTTTTTCCGAGATTTTCTTATTTTTCTTTGAATTTCCTTATTTTTTCCCTTAAAATATGCATTTTGAATTCACCCTAGGCATAAAAAAATCGTGCAGTGATTGCAGCGGCGACCCTGCCTCATACATATAAGCTTGTTAGACCACTGAGGCTCAAACTAACGAGTCACAACAATACCCACTGGTACCTTGCTAGGTATGTTGATGTCTTCGGACCTCTTTCGGACGGGAATCAGTCAAACAGCTAGCTGCGCCGACACCGCCGCGAAACGTGGCTTTTGGATAGCAACTTTTGCAGATGAGACCCCAAGGGCAAGAAGCCGCGTATAATGTATATACCACACACCTAAAATCTGTTCTGAATTGCCATTTTTTTAAATTGGAACACCACTGATATTTGGTTTTTGATGATTTTTTCTGTAATTATCTTGAAATTTTCTTCAGAATTTAGATTTTCCGTAAAATTTCTTTACATTTTTCATTTCCTTAGATATTTCCTTAGGACGTGAAAATTTCCTCTAAAATAAGGAAATGTGCTTAAAAGTGGAAACACTAGTACCATGCAAAGTGATAACAAAAGCAACAACGTGCAGGGGAAATTGAAATTAAACTGACTAAGTATTGATGCAAGGGCTTTATTAGTGATTTTGCCTGCATTGAGCTCACAGACATATAACCGCATAGGCCTACCCGCCAGTTCTTATTCAAAACTACAGGGGTTTTTCGTGATCTGCGCGGCGCCCGACTAAAATCAAAACTATGGGCAGATTCACCCATCGGTATGGGAATTTGAAGAATTCCAGCCATGAAATTCTGTGAAGCCATTTTTTGACTGTAAAAAACCCTGTATTTACTTAATCTGGCCCATGGGGATTAAAACAATGCGGTTGCAACAGTTGAAAGAAGAGATAGCAATACCGAAGAGCGAAAAAAGGTGAACGTATTTGGAAGCACATGTAAACAAATACAGGCAATAAAACTGCGTGACGCGTGATGCGCACTGACTGCGCTGTCATCCACGGTCGTGTTCCGCCCTTGTTTGCCCACACCTTTCTTAATCCCGGTTATACGTGCAAGACTAGCGGTCTGTGGATGCATGCATTCCACCAAATGGTTATGTTTCTGCGTGCGAGCTCATTGATATTTTGTGATCCCATGGAAGTTTTACAATAAGACAGACCATAATCAGGAGGCATCACAGGAATATTTCTATAAATCCCGAATTTGGGATTGATAGTTTCCAGTTCCGGATAGCTTAGGCCTATTTCTTTCACAAAAAGCCCCAATTGCGGGCCTACTTTGGAAAGGCGAATAAAAAAATCATGGCTAACCTCCACGAAATTGAAACTAAAAGTGATCTTCTGGCCATAATTTTGAATTTCCAGTGAAAAAATGGAGGCCAACCCCTTCACGAGAGTCAACAGGCGGCGCTATTTCGTCGGCGATTTTGCACTGTTTTCTATGGGCGCGTATTTGGTGTAGGGCAACCACTGATCAGAGAGAGAGTGCAACCCAATTAGCGTCTGTACTGTACGATCAAAAAAATGGCTTGTGCGTGTCAAATGAGGGCGCCAAAATGTCAACAACCGACAGAGACCGACCCATGTGGTATAGTAATTCTTGCTTGGCAGACTCAAACTCCACATCCTTGCTCTGTGGTGGTCTGGACGCTGGACAACCGAATCGAATGATCTTGACTTTCAGAGGAGATTCCTCCACCTTACATGTATGTAAAATTACAAGGAATTTCAAATCGGACATCAAAGATTTTGAGGAAGATCTCACTGAGTCTCCTACGTCCTACTACATGATGTACTTTCATTCATGTCATTGCAATCTAATTAAATCACGTGGGTTCATTCCACCAAATATCGTATTTCTGTGTGCGAGCTCATTAATATTTTGTGATTCCACGGGGTTTTTACAATAAGACATTGCCATAATCAGAAGGGATCATAGAAATATTTCTTTAAATCCCGAATTGGGATTTCCCCAGAATGCGGGAGCAGGGCAGATGTTGGACCTAACGGTTTTGAGGGTAAATTTGGGACTGATAGTTTCCATTTCGGAGTATTTCTTTCACAAAAAGTCCCAAATTGCAGGCCTATTTGGGGGGTTAATTACCATTAGCACCCTGTCCCTATAGTAAGGAAACAAAGTCCACATTTTTAAACTAACTAACAGTTTGACCTTAAGGAACCATTACTCAATCCTGATCGGCCTAGTTGAGGTAAATTTTGACAATATTTAACTTAAGCAAGAAAACTTCAAATTTCTAACCCGAGTTTGGCAAAAGACAACCACTCAGTCGAATCACTCAATTTTGTTTTTTGTCTGGTTACCTGACTCAGGCATTTGGGATTCATCAAAACAAATCTTCATCCAAGTCAAGCAACCAGACTACATTCGCTTACATTTGTTGATCACAGCTCTCTCTGGAGAGGTCATGTACACTGTCGTTTTTACCCAAAAATTTCCCTTTAAAATCAAAAGCACAGTTCTCTTTTCTCTCTAATATGAAAGAGGACATCACCAACAACTTGTTTAGATAAGTTGTTTTTAAAAAGTAGAATTTGTTCCCTTAAAATAGGAACAGGGTGCTAAAGGTAATGAACCCCTATTTTGGAGAGGCGGGTGGCTACATTAAGAGCTAAGCGCACAGTTTTACTACTATGTTGGGGGTATCTTCGGAAAAGGCAAATAAAAAAATAGTAGTAAAACTACATGCACAGTGTGCGCTCAGCTCTGAATGTAGCTGCAAGCCTTCAGGTTGGGGTTTTTTGTGAAAGAAATACCCTGAACTTGGAACTACCATTCCCAAATTGGGGATTTGTAGAAAATATCTCTATGAACCCTCCTGATTATTGCATGATGTCTTATTTTAAACATCCTGTGGGATCACAAAATATTAACGAGCTCACCCGCAGAAATCCAACGATTTGGTAGAATGTACCCTCAATGGCATGTACAACACAACAAGTTGACACAGAGGGCGATGGTTTTGTTTATCTTCTCTTTCCGTTGCAAGGTTGAAGTTCTCGCATGCGCACACGAGTGAGCGAATAGGATTATTTGCCTTTGAATGATGTCCATTCATAGGATATTCAATGTGGGAGGAGTAGGTCTAAAGTAAATTTGCATAAGAGTCAAGATTGTGCTGAACAGCCCCATGGAACTGGGGACTTAGATGTTCCTTTTAAAAAAAAATTTTGTTTAAACCTTGATTGGTCATACTGACCAATAAAGTTCGAAATTTAAAAACAAACAAATTGTAATGCCTTAGTTAGTGGGTCTTTGAACCTCCTTTCCTTGTTCAAAATCCCACCAAAATTAACAGACCAGCACACTTTCAGATATGTTGCTGTTCTTTGTGAGTTGTCATATTGAATAAGCCATTTTCTCATTCCGTTGTTGAGTTTAGCACCCCCAGGTGAGTAAGTGAACAAAGCTAGAGGGGAACATATTGTCTACAAGAATCACAAGCTTCCATTCACCAAACTGCCAAATGTTATGCAATGTTGTCATGAATTTGTTCCCCTCTGTTAAATCGTCTGAGCATGCAGACATGAAATGTGAAAAAGGCTTATTCTTCTCACTCACTGATGGGATAGAAAGGACTCTCTAACATGTAAATGTGGTCTCCTGAATTTTGCCGCAGTGATTTTGATTTTTATCTACATGTCTGTTAAGAAGTATGGGGTTCATCGTTCTGCCTATCTGAAGAGGTGGATTGACACCACATGGTTCCCCAGGGTAACTGTTACTCAAAGGAAAATACAATGTTCTCAGGGCTATTCGTCTTGAATAGAAGCTGCACCCCCTGCCTCCTTTATCAGTTGAAAGGAACCACGTCAGTGAGGAGTGTTCATTTTCATGGTAGCAATTCGACTTTAATTCATATGTGTAGTCGCTTGTGAACCGGCGAAGTACATTTCACACCAAAGGGGCCTGTGTTGCTAGGAGAATTGCACCCTTTCTTGGTCCAGGTCGAGGCTCGTAGTCTTAAGACTTACATGTACATGTAGGGAGATTTGCCAGAGAGATGGAAAAACTGCTGAGAGTTTCATATGAACATTACTAATACTCCCTTGCAGTGGTTCATCAGACATCAGAAAGCGATAACGTCTACAAAAGAGTTCAATTTAGCACGGAAATATTGAAGGATTTACTTAGAAAAGACTGAGAAGTTTTCAGACCCGTCTCGAGTTTATGCCCTGGGTGTCAAGAGAATGTGGGTGTGGAACTCTTTCCAAACTGCTTGTTCAAAAATGGCAGTTTACCCTTTGGGCATTTTGTTTTGCCAATATCATTCAATCTATTCCCTTCCTGTCAAGGTATCAGGTTAGCGCTCTCCTGGTCAATGAAGCAAACATTCATGAAGTATATGATTCACTTGAGGTGTAAATATTATTCCGCAGAACCAGTTTCTGGGCAGTTTGCGGCATAAACAAACGTCACATTTGCCAGTTTCAACCTTGTGCACCTGTCAACTTGTTTGCTCTACAGTGAACTGTTTCACGGTTTGAGTGCTCAGCTCCGTGTTCTCAGCATGGATATGAATTCCTCAATGCCGTTGTCACACAAAACTTCACGCTGAGCCATGAAACAGTCATAGTGAAGATGACATTTAAGTTGTTGACTCTGAACGTTGAAAAGAAGCTTTTGTAATGGCTGACATCATGAACTTGCAGCACTTGTATGAAGTGGGCTGTAAACGTTCTAATATAAATCAAGATTTGAAGACATTATCACAGCTGGCGATATTTTGCATCTATTTTGGATGGTCGATAAGGATAGATCCACGGGGGCCAATGCGGGCCCAAGTCCTGCACCCTAACAGAGCCAAACTTATTTTCGTTTTTATGTCTTGTGAGACAAAGGTGATTTTAGGGGGGTCACTCTCATTTCCCTTCTTGCAGCATGTAAAAAGTCCCCGTAAGTAGCCTCACTAATTTAGAGAGGCCATAACATATTACACAAAAACGATCCTCCCTGAAAATTTGGGTTTGGATCTGCTCTTGTTTAGTGGTAGCCGCAGTGCACCCAAATGTTGTTTCTCCGGTCAGTGAACAGTGTGTCTGATTTCTGTTTTCGCAGTGTGAGGAGGGAAGACAGTGGGCCGGACAATGGCGGCTTCTTCACTAGTGGTCGACACACCATTAAATATTCTGCCACAGATTCAAAAGGGAACAAGCGTTGTCCACTCTGCTCTTTTGTCATCACTGTGAGGAGTAAGTGTTGAAGATTCTTGGGGCAGTGTTTTGGAGTTTCGATGGGAAGTACATGTATACATGGACAAGGGGTGGGCATATCAAATTGGAAACCCCCAGTGAATGCCCAGGAAAGAAAGAAAGCTAAAAGAATTATCCTGCAAAAGTTGACCTCTCCCTTCCCACAATCTGAAATACATGAAGACTAGTATACATGTACATGTAATTCAGTGTTCTTGTATGCAGATAAACAGTTTCAAATTGTATTTAAGGTATTCTTTTGGTAAAAGCTACAATAAAAACAGATCATTATTTCAAGCATGACTTTACGACTTATAAACAAAGAAACTTAAAGGACTAATATTTCTAAAGTTTAATCTAGCCTTAACTGATAAGAATTGCATCAGGTCAACTTGATTGAATCTAGAACCCATCAACTGCAGGTTGGTAAATCTTTGCAAAGTTATACAATTTTGCTTTCACACAAGCGCATGAAGTGTCAATAAACAAGGAGAGTTTCCTGGATGTGAAAGAATGTTAATGAAATTCGGTGACTCCTGGTGACTTTTCCCAAATATTTACTTGAGGAACACCAATGTACCAGTAGCATTCAGACATGAGTGTTTCAAAGGATGGTTTTAGTCAGGAATCATACTTTTAAAAGCTATCAAACACGATAGGACTCCATGTAAAATCCCAATAGGCTGATTGTGCAAGGGTTCCGGAATCTTGTTGCATGACCTTACTTTCAGGTTCTATTGAATGCCTAACTATTTGCCCTTCTGATTTTTAATTGTCGGTTATAAATATCAAAACCCCACCAGTGCAAACATCCATGTACATGCACCAGAGTTTGCATTTGTTATGGACAGAACGTCTATACTGCTGGGTTTTTCGTAAGGTTAACATGTACATTAAGTGCTTATTTTGGCTACTTTTACACATGCTTTCCATGCATGGAGGATTTATGCACATTCAAGGAGAAGTCACATTCTGTCTTCCTTAAAAATGTGAAACATAATCCAGGCATTAATTAACGACTGATCATTGAAAAGTCTTGAGCACAATTGTTGTAGCATGGAATAGTGGCAGACAAATCAAAGTTAACATAAAAGGCCCTTTGCACTCATCCCTACTTAAAGAGTCTGTGAGTTGGCCCAGTTTGTAACAGTCTGCAAAGTTAGCTCATGGTCCTTTTGGGGCTATGGTCTGCCACTGTTTAGAATGTTTGCCTTTATTTTCTGCTGCAGCATGATTCTGCTGACAATGCCATTTTTTTTCCCAAGTCAGTATTTTTTGTCTATGTTTAACACACTAGGTTCATAGTGCCAGAATGCTTTGATGAAATTATGTACATGTACATGCAAAAATGATCAGATATCCTGAGGAAAGTTTTGCTTTTAACCACTTTTGGTAGAGGAAGCGCAAACATAACCTGGTTATCTGTATGCACAGACACACATGTTAAAACATTTGGCAAGCCTTGTCGCACTTCCAGGTGTCGTGTAAACATGCGAATTTCCCATTGGTTTTGTTCACTCACAAAGTCTTTGGAGACAGACCGTTGGATAAACTTGAACTTGATCGCTGTGCAAAGCCTGCTGTGGTAGCAAAAAATCACTCCATAAAAATACCAGGTTGTGTAAGAAATATTGCACAAATAATATTCACCCCTCTCTTGCCAGTCGGCATTTGTGGCATTTGATTGTGTGTCACAAATTGGCTGCTCTATTCTGCCCTTTTCACAAGTGCGACATTTTTGCCAATATAATACCTTACTGTCCACAGCCTGCAGGTGGCTAAAGGGTACTTCCAGAAATTAGGAGTCTAATTTTTTTTTCGTGTCCCTGTCACATCTGACATATGATTTTGTAAGTTCAGAACGCATTTTCCAATTACCAACACTGGCCAAGAGTGACGAATTAATGCAATTACCTGCCAAACAAATAGTAACAGTTTGAAATCGATTCCGGTGAGATTTCTATGTCAAATAATAAAGGTCAGATGTAAGAGGGACACAAAAATGTCACACTTTTGGACCCCCAATTTCTGGAATTACCCTAAGTTGCAAATGCTCTAGTGAAAGATAAGAATTTAGGAGGTCAGTCAGCATTGTAATGGAAAGTCTAAAGTTTAGTTCTCACTGCATTTTCTTGAGAATCTGTTTTTTGTGTTCTTCCCTCTTTTAGTAAAGAGATGTGGCTCCCACTCTCCTGTCCCTCAAGGCTCAGTCTCCTGTACCTATGGCGACCAGTTCGGCTCCACATGTCGTATCAGCTGCTTGCAAGGCTACTCTCTTAGAGGGTCATCCAGTCGAACTTGTCAGAGTAATGAAAGGTGGTCTGGCACTGAACCGAGATGTGAACGTAAGAACAGATCCAAATTGAAATACCCACTGCTCACCATACATTCATGTACATTCATGTAATCATGTCGGGATAATTTGGTGTCAAGACAAATTTAGCCCCCAAAAAGCATTATTTAAAGTCTCAACCTTTTTTTTTGGAAACTTTTATTACTTGGAGGCCACCTGCAGTTACTTTGTTTCCGTCACAAGAAATTGAGCTGAAAAAGCAAAGGTACACTATCGTCCAGTCCATCGCAAAGAAAGCACTTGCGAGTCGGGATGTCTAACGTTAGTTTGTGTTGATCACTTTTTACATCACGCAGTCGACTTACCTCTAGCCTTGTCTTTGAGAAGGCTGCATCAGAATATTTGACTTCAGAGTGCAATATTCGGCTTGAGCCCATGGAAGCGGCTGTGGTCATAATTTATCTTAAAAACTGTGCTACACACAATAAACTACATAAACCATTATCATCATATTCAGTTCTCTTGTCTGACTAGTTTCTTTCATTTTTGTGTCTTTGAACAGCCAAAACACTAATGGTGGTTGGAAATTTTGTAAAAATTGCTGCCATATTAAAAAAGTAAATTAAAAAATCCCACCTCCTTTCCCCTAAAATGTGAACGCTAAATGTTTATTTTTTTTGTTGTACATGTACGTAGCCCTGTATGCGCTTGATAACATTTCGCAGCGGAAATCAAACGAAGAGTTGTTCCTCTTTTACTTTCCAGCAATCCAGTGCCCGAGCTTATCTGGTACATCCTGCACCCACTCCAACCGCTACAACAGCATCTGTACCCACACATGCAGTCAATCGGGCTACGGCCTTGGCCCAGGTCAAAGTGGGACCAGGGTCTGTACAGCGGACGGCACTTGGACAGGATCAGTCCCAACTTGTGTAGGTCAGTATTAAACTAAAGCAGTGCTCACAAGGAGCAGTCTTGCTCGGTGTCCTGCAGTCAGTTTGAATCAGGGGTATTTTTTATCTCATCAGAGTAAGTATGGCAAGGAGACACAGAGGAGAATGTAGAATATAAAAGAGATTGTGCCATGTTAATCCCAAAAGAGCTAGGCTTTTTTGGGGGACCATTTTGGAGAGGGAAGGGGGATGACGTTACACAATTACATCCAAGGAAAAGTCACAGTATGAACCCTCTTAAGGCACCATCAATATTAAAGGCCATTTGGAGAAACCGGTGACATGGAAATCCATGTTGTGCTCTGCAGATAAGCAAAATCCGACGCTGACGTGCCCAGAGACCATCCGGGCTTTCGCCAGTGCCTCACAGACCTCCGCTGTTGTCACCTGGAACCCACCGGAAGTCAGCGACAACTCTGGAAGCGAACTCGAGGCTGAGCAGACAGCAGGCCTACCGTCTGGCTCATCGTTTGGCAGAGGCTCGCATGCCATTAGTTACCGGGCCCAAGACAGTGCTGGAAATGCAGCAACATGTTCATTCTCTGTCATTGTCCAAGGTGAGCATGTATAGTGTAATTCTTGGTTTGGGTACAGGAGGCGATTTTTTCCAAGCGAGGGCTGTGGAAACTGATGTCTCGTCTGGCCATCAGTCTGTGGGGGAAAAGCTAAAACAATTTTAGACAGGCAGTCTTTGCTTGTCCAATATTTACAAACCCCATTTTGACAGAATCTTTGACAAACTACAGTGGAAATATGACTTCATGGAGCACCTAGTGTTATCAGCTGCAAAAAAATTAAGTGGGAGTGGACCAGCAGTTTTTAACCTTTGCTGGGAAGGGGTAGGTACATCGTAGATACTGCATTCCTAGATTAAACCCAGCAGGCCTCACAGAATTGACTGAATTGCAGAAAGGGTTGGCTTAGAATAACTAGGTAAAATGTCATATATTGCATATTGCTGATGGCTAGTTCCAAGCTAAAATTTGCTGTTCTCAGCATGCATAGGAAAGGCCAAGGCTTATGCTGAGATTATTGAACTTTGGAGAAGGCCGGTTCTAACCTATCGTGGCTGTTTGCATGTACATGTATCGCTGACCATAGGCTCATTGAATTCCTTATCCAAACAGATTTGGAAAGTGTGCATTAAGACCTTTTTGGTTTTGTTTAGGTTTTTTTTAGTCAGTTATTTTGCCTACTTATTGAGTTAATCATCAGTCCCCCCAACCCAGTATGTACACACACATTCATCTGTGTAAACACCTGCAACCATAAACTCAAACTTTGTTAGAATACCTCTTTTGCGACTTGTACATGATTGTCAGTCGTTGTCCTCTGTTGTTGTCGGTCCTCAATTTGAGTGTCTTTACACACTCAACTTGTTCCGTGGTCGTGGGGACTGCAGACCTACAAGTGCTGTGTTGACAGCATTTCTATGGAGAAGTCCCAGCAGCCTGAACCAAAAGCTTACAATGCGAGAAATTACCCACTCCATGCAATGCTGGTCATCAGGGCAGTGCTTGTATCCACACACCATTGGTATAATGCGCACCTTCTGCAACTAAACTCTTCCACTTTGGACATTGGCAGTGATCCAGTGTCCAGCTCTCCCATTCCAATCTGGTCAGAGGAGGGCGTGCTCATCCCTGTTCATCTATGGCTCAGTCTGCCAGTTTGAGTGTCTGCCGGGCTTTTCTTTGACCACGAATTATGTCAGCATTGAATGCCAGCAACAAGGGGACACTGGAGAATGGAGTGAAGATCAACCAACCTGTGAAGGTTAGTGCAAGTTCATAGGTTAAATGATAAAATTCAAACGACTACCAGTGCTGAAATAACAGTTTGCCCTGCCCAGAAAAAAACTTTAAATGTAGTTAGAATACACCTACCAGCACTTCTGAGAACCAAAGGTACCTCTGTATGCCTTAGGACCATTTTACTGTACACGAATTGCTACGCTTTGAATCCAGCCTCTGAGGTAAATTACTGGTGACATAAATTTCACTTTCTTGATCTAATTTTTCAGTGAGAGCCGTCTTGAGGTGTTTATCCACCTTGAGCAGAAGCACCCCCTCGTTGGTTGAAAAGAGTCATTGTTGGTCAGGAGCATTCATTTTGTTGGTAGTGATGTAACCAAAATATGTACATTTTATAGTCGTTTGTGAACCTACAAAGTTCTGTTCCGACCAAGGGAGCCTCCTTTGCTAAGAAAATAGTGCCCTCTTCATAACGGGTTTTTAGGCTATGAGACCAACCATTTTTTTGAAATGTCAGAGTCGTTCACACCAATCTCTCGATGACGATCACACTGTACCGTACACTTTCTGTGCATCACACCGCACATGTGTTGGGCCTGTCGCCGAAGCACAAGCTCCCTCTGCATGTTGGTTCAACCATTTTTGGAGGCCGGGGGAGGGATGGAATCTTGTTTTGATCGCCTAACTGTCCTTGTGACTTCTGACACCAGCAGAATGTGCAACATGCTGTGCTGTGTAGCTGTGACAGTGTATGAACACACATATATACGATATATTAACCCCTTCACGCCGGGATTCTTTTGACCGTGACTGCTGGGCTGTGGTGTGCCCTGAATGGAGGGCTTCGTCCAGCAGCTGCATGGTGAATAGACTGTATGTGTGGTATGCACTAAGCCTCACACAAAGCCGCGGCTCTCGCCATCTCCCGGAGCGAAGGGGTTAAGGCCCCTTTTACACAGGTTTTTTGGAGAAGAAATGCACAGATTCCAATTTCTTTTTACCATCTGTGTAAATGGGCTGTCATAGGAAATGTTACAGTCCATGAACATGTAAAACAGAACAGCTTTTGATGATGAAGGCACTCATATATTGGCTCAGTGTTTCTTGTCTCTCGTGAGTAACGGTTACTCACAGAAGAAAGGTATTGATAGAATCCGTGTTTCTTTTGCTGTATTCATTGTGGTGACACATTCAAATTGGCCTTTTTGTAGCCGTAACATGCCCTCTGCTGACTGCTCCGGAAAATGGTGGAATCGTGGGAGACACCCCGTGCTCGATGGACTATGGCTCTTGGTGTCGGTTTGAGTGTAATGACGGCTATCAGCTCGCAGGGAGTGGAGTCCGTCGCTGTCTGGCAGAACCTGGACAAGCTGATGGATCCTGGGATGGCTATGAAGCTCGCTGTGAAGGTACAGTAGAGAAATTGCTACATGTCATAAGCCACTGTTGTCCAGTTCATACTTAGTGGGAAAGTGAATGTACATGTAGATGGAAATTTCTAAATATTTAGAAATAGTTCAAATATTTGTACTGTGATTTTACAAAACTTACACATCTGAACTTGAGCAACATTTTGTGACTTCAAGTTCACGTTGCTTTTGCACTCGTCCAAACTGTGAAACTGCCTTTCATCATCACATACGTGCAGTTTCACTCATTATGTATGATGTCTTAATTGTTGTCTAGTAATCGAATGTAGCTTTCTGGATTGACCCTCCTACATTTCAACTACTTCCTGACTTTTAACCTATTCAGAGCAAACCTGTCCGAGAGTCTACGTCCCTCACAATGCCTACATCACCAACCAGGATGAATGCCCAGCCACTGACCAGATCCCAGCAGGGACCACCTGCCGTTTTGCCTGCCGACCAGGCAACGTGCTGACTGGGTCTATGGAGGTCTCTTGCGGAACGGATGGAAACTGGAATACCACCTTCCCATACTGTGAAGGTAAAGTTGCTAGGCTGTGGGAAAATACTGAAACTCAGGGTTGTATTTTCCTATCAACGATAAGCGCCACATTACATATCAGAATAGAGTCGATAATGAGGCATGCATGAGTGGATTTCCGTTTGGAGCCTTAACCCTAAAAGAACTCATGCCCAAAGATTTTTAAAACATAGCACACATGTAAAGACACTCATTATCAGCGTAGGTTTTCAACCGAATCCAAGATATGATTTTTTGGGGGCAGGGCATTTAAAGTTGTCACAGCCTGTGAATGGAAAAGGACACATCTTGGTTTACCTGTCTCAGAAAAAGTGGACCTTGAATGAGTACTGTATGTTCAATTTTCACATAGTTGGTGTCAAAATGTCTGCAAGATATTACTTCAAAACGTCCTGAAGGCTTGGCTTGTAAAAATACATGTATATGCACTTTGATGATATTGAAAATGTGGAGGGGGCCCCCCAGCTCTTTTAGGGTTAATCTGAAACATCCAGTCGGCTGATTGAGCTGAAAATAGAGAAATGAAGTTTTCATTTTTCCTGTTTGTCGGGTGGCGTCATGCATCATTTACATTGACACTATTTTTGATACACCTCGTCTTTTTTTCTCAATGCTTGCAGTTATCACCTGTGACAGCAGTGAGTTGCCTGCACCACAGAACGGAATCAAAAATGGCTGCCCCCATGCTGAGGAAATCTACGGCACTGTGTGTACTCTGATTTGTAACCTGGGTTTCATGCCAACCCAGCCCACTTATGTAACGTGCGGTGATAACGGGAATGGAGTTGGCACGTGGGATGGAAACACTATCACGTGTGAAGGTACGGATAGGTATTAGCCAAGGTTGGATTACGTCTACATTACATTGCGACTAACATCCAGGGTATGAAAGTCCTGTTTCTATGCGAAATATTTTGCAACAGTTTTGTCTCACATTTTTACCTGGCAAAGACAGCTCAAGATGTTGTTCACAAGTGCCTTGTATCCCAAATTCCATAAATGCTGTGTTGAAATTACTAAATACACCCGTTGAAAGCGTATTTTGCAGGAAATTTTGCGAAACTCCACGCTTTCCGTCGCGATTCATTAATGATGCATGTACATGCACGTACGTTTGTCTAGCACGAGTACTACTCACACATGCGCAAAATAGTAACCGAGTGCCCCTTACTCATGCGCGGAAGAGCCGTAGGGGTGAAGAAGTCGCAGATAAGGCCGTGTACGAACGGGCTTCCAAAGATACGGCTAGGTCTATTGTCTGCGCGTCTCCATGTATTTCTAATGGAGCGAAGACCTAGACCTAGCTCTAGACAACATGCATAACTGGAGGCAATTTGGTGCATGCGCAAATGCATACTACCGCACAAACGTAGGTCGTTCGCGAATCGCAACGGAAAGCGTGGAGTTTCATACCTTGGACGTTAGTCACAATGCACTGTAGACGTCGTCCAATCTGGGCTAGGATAGGTATCAGCTTGTCTCAAAGAGGGCGTAGTCCTACTTTTATTGACTTGCAGGGAAGCGTGGTCTATTGGTTCAGATTTGGTTTCAATCCAGGTGCTGACCGTAGGCTTTTGCTATAATAATTTATTCCGCCAATCAGATGTCAAAAGGGTATTCATACCGCAACATGACTGTGTATTAACATTTGATAACGCCTGCTGCAATTTGATAATGCCCACTGCGTAAAAAGGCTCTGGCACCTGGTTACAAGACAGTGAAATCCATTTCTATTGGTCAAAACTTTGTGTGCGACGCGGCACACGTAACTCGCCACACGTGCACCAAGTCCACATACAGACATAAGGATATTCTTCAGGAGTACTTGCACAGAAATGTACCATAAAATGGACGGGGTATGTTTGGAAAAATGAAAATAAAATTCTTGAATAAAATCCTTGGAAATTTATTGTGTGTTGACTTCTTTTGACTTTCATCCCATTCAACATTTTGAAATTTTAAAAACAGATTCAGGGAACAGTATTGAAAACAGATTCCCCATCGTTAAGACCGTTTGTCAGGGACCAACCAAAGTTTAAGTTCATAAGCTTACATTAGCCTGGTGACCAGACATCACACGTTGATCTGAATTTGCTTGGCTTTTCAGCGGTCAAATGTGATCCTCTGGATGTCCCCGGTACTCCAGGCTACATGCCACTGTCATGCACGCTGGACGGAGTGACAGTGAGTGACACAGACCAGATGCAGAGTTACGGCACCATCTGCGTGGCGTTATGTGACCTGGGATTCACCAGTAGTGGCTCAGGGAGTCGTACTTGTCAGTTGAACGGCCAGTGGGACGGTGTTCCACTGCAATGTACAGGTAGGCACTCTTCATGAAGATAGTTGTAGGGTTCTAGACTACACTTGTGGTCCTGCGCCATCGTGACTTTCTTTATTGGTTGTATAACAGCACCGCTCACGTCTTCAATAAACATACCCACAGGTGGACCTAATGTAGGTTTAGCTCAGGAGGGGATGTTAGGAAGGGCTGAACAACTATTTGCTATAGGGTTCCTGTCATTTTCATATAGTGTCTCTGGCAATTGATGATGTGGGGTTCAACCTTCTAACCCCAAATGGATCCATCACTGATACCCTTATCTATGTTGAGCTTTATCTAAACGGGGGAAAGATTTCTTCTTCTTCTCTTTTGTATAAAGAAGTGTCCTGTTTTACATGTATCAAGGGGGGTATTTGTCGCTGTTAGGAAACAAGTTTAGTCCACTTTGGGCTTTTCTCATGTTAAACTTAAATGACTGGCAGCATTTCCCCCCTCCCTGTAAAATTACAAATTATAGCCCCCCCTTTTTAGAGAGCCACTCACACGTATTTTCTTGCGGTGAACTGACGTTACCCCGATTTTCCATGTTTGCCAGATATTACCCCGCCCACTGTGATGTGCCCACCAGACATTACATTGTTTGCAGGGCAGGGGACCAGCTTTGCAGTTGTTGGCTATGAGTGGGAACCTATCCAGGTATGGATGCGTGGTGTTTCAGCGTGTTCCTTCACTATTACTTCACTAAAGTCTGTTGATTTCATGCCTGATTTCCTTTTCCATTTTATGTCTAACTTCGTTGGAATATTTTGCTTTAAATATGTACGTTGGAAAATTTGTTTTTTCCTTAAAAATATTATTGCAGTTAAGAAAATGAAATTTACACATGTTAGGTGGAAACGAACCTCTGTGTTTTAAAAATATTTATTTCCAAGTTTGCCTGGCCATTTTTAAAGGGTATTCTGGTGCCCTTTTTGGTTTTTATGCTGATGGTATTTCAACATTCATGAGTAAAAGTGTGATGTCATCCCAGGGAGGAAACCACAATCTTGCATTGATTTGTGGGATGTTGACATTTTGCTGTTCTGAATGTCCTTTTATTGTTGTGTAAGCCATCAAGCAAATGTTTTAAAATGATTTCAATGAGCAAACGTTGGGTTCTGAGTTTTTACAGAAAAATCATAGAAACTGAGCATTGCCTTTCCTGATTGACTAGTGGCAATAGCACCCTCAGTTGTCCAGAAGATCTTAGACAATTTTAATTTATTTACAAAGTGCACTTTTTACTACACATAACCCACAAAAGGATGATAATTAGTTTTTCATTCATTGAACGAGAGTATCAATATGCACAAAAAGTGTGTCTTAAGAAAACTGCATCATAGGGACCCTTCACAGCCTGGGTAAGTCTGCAAGCAAAGCAGTCTGTCTAACATTTCGGTGCTGTACTAGCATTGGTGTATACATTTGTAAACCATTCAGGCCATGGACGCCAGTGGTAACCTCACTGCCAGACTGAGTACCATCAATGGACAGCCAGCGCCGGCCAATAGGAGCTCTGTATTCTATGAAGGGACCTATCAGCTGGTCTATACTGCCGAGGATAGCAGCAGTAACACGGCATCCTGTGACGTCAGTGTGAACGTCCTAGGTAACAACACTAAGTACATGTAGGATGATTTGTGTTGATTTGATAACCCTTGGTTACTCGTGAGTCTGATTCGGTCCGAATAATTGGATATATATGAAAATTAAGCCTTCCATTCGATCAAATATTCAATAATTGGTCGAGTCCTCACCAAAGCAGAAACACCTGTGCATTTTTTTGGTGATGGTCTTCCTTGCTGGGTTTCAGGCCATTGGTCTTTAAGAGGCTTGGAGTCCAACTGATGTTTGGTTCTGAGTGAGGATATTATTCCCATCAGTCCTAGCAAGATCACACATCACAAAAAGTGAAGAAGTAAAACCGGAAGGAAAAGTTTCTTCTTGCCTTGTATTTCTTTTCAATTTTTTGAAAAGATGCTTTCGGAATACAGTTTTGTAAACAACTCTTTTGTCTTTGTGTAAATCATTGATATTCACTCCCAAGTTCTGTATTTGACATCCATCACTTACTCAATTATTTGAATATTTGGCATAGCCCCAGTTGCTTTATCCGTCACCACCCAAGTTGTCCTTTTTGCCTTCATGAAGTGCTAATGGAATTTTTGGCGCAAAGATTATCAGTTCCTTAAAAGTTTCCTTGTGCATCAGCAAAGGTAGTTCTAACTTTTGTGAGTGTTTGGGGCATTGTCTTGAGTATCATTATTTTGCCGTCGTGATTGCATTTCTGAAGGATTATTACAATTTTTAAAATCCTTCAGTAAGAAACAACACTATGATCTTGCCTTCCATTATGTATTGGTCAAGTCCTCTTCGTTGAGTACACTGAATCTTGTGTATTTTTTGATTTTGAGAGACTGTGATTGTTTTTATCTCCTCTCATTTTGTTCCTGCTACAGTCGCCCGTTGCCCACCGTTGTACGCTCCCCAGAACAGTGAGACCAGTCTGGTGTCTGGCCAAGGGACATGTCAAAACTCTGCCGTATATGGCTCTGTGTGCAGCATAAGCTGTGATGTAGGTCACACACTGTCAGATGGTAGCCAAGAAGTCACTGTTGAATGTGTCAAGAACACAGCTTCATCAACAGTTGGTTACTGGCAGGGCTCCGCAGTAGAGTGTGACCGTAAGTATCTTCAACCTGGCTGATCTATGCCCAGTGAAGGGACCTCGCCCCATCTGAAGTTTGATTGGCTGATATCTAGTCGAATGGCATTCACTATTTTTTGCTGTCTTGCTATTCAGAGCCGAAGGAACTCTGCCTGTAGCAACCGTGGAACTTTACGCAAATGCATACCGGGGTACTGTGTACCGTATGCATTCCTAAGTGCTAGTGCCACAGAATTCAGTTTAACTATTCGATGAAGAGGTATTTTGGAAAAGTGTTCGTAAATTTTCAACAAATTTCTTATTCAAATAGACATTAGTTTATAGATGAAATTACACAATCTGCGGGAGAGATGTTTTCAAACAAATAATCAACTTTATCTTATGGTGTAGTCACACTATTCCCATCGATGGTTGTACGAGATGCCAGTGACCATGAATGCTACAGGCATTGCAGCCAATAGGAAAATGGGAAGTTTTTAATAAATAGCTCCACCAGAGTGATTCAAACATAACTGCACTGCACCCGCATTCTGTTAACAAACATTTGACCAGTAGGCGAGCTATACTTCATGTCCGCACTGAACAGTATCTTCGTATCTATTATCACATGCGATTAATCTGACTCAGACCAATTGGGTGACCAGAATTGGAAGCCATTTCTGCAGTCACATTATACCCCTGGACTTGTGAGGTGCATGTGTGTGCACGCATTATGCGCCTCTTCACCCAATAGGAAGTTCTCACTTGCCTATGCACAAGGGCAGACCCCGGGGAGGAGGGCCAGTGGGGGGGGTTATGGCCCCCAAAGGGTGGAGCCCAAAATATTGGGGGGGGGATTAACGAGAGAAAGGCAAATCTGTTGATCTATCTCATTTTCGACTCTTTTGAAAACGTGTGAAACGCTCCCCCAAATTAGTATAACTTCATTCCTCAGAATGGCCATAAAAGGTTATATGAAAAAAATGGCCACATTTTTGGCCTCCCAGAAAACAAGTTCCCCCCCCCCCAAAAAAATAGGTTGTGGATCCCCCTTGCCTGATGCATGCATACTTTAAGTTGGCGAATGTGCACATGAGTGTAGTGCCACCGCTGTTGTGGCATCCTCTTTGCTGAGTCTATGTACACAATTAAAACAAAAGTTTCTGACAATCCTTGTGGCTTCGATTCAAAGCGAATTATTCTTTCAATATTTTGTCACCAGCCAACATGTGCCAAGTACCAGCCATCCCCAACGGCTACATTTCAGGCTGCAGTGACCAGGAAGTGGAGTATCAGTCATCTTGCACATTTGTGTGTAATCCTGGTTACCGTAGTAACCATACGTCCCAGACTACCAGGACGTGTCAGGCTGATGGTACTTGGACAGGCGTACAACTTGTTTGTGAAGGTGTGGTTTCTTATGGCTTGTTTTGTCCTTGTTTACCGATTCGGTGTATCGGTTTTTACAACACAATGGCTGAGAACAAAAATGTAGATAAGCAACTAGTAGTGGTTTGTTGTCCAGCAGGCTTTACCTTGCCTTCTAGTAATTTTCATATAGCTCTATGATCCTACCCATCAAAGCCAGCAAAGGACACCTTAAACGTGCATGGGATGTAACGGTTGTGTAACCCTCTGCCTACATAATCTGTTGCATCTGTACAAGTGTGTGCGAGGACATTGTACATTGTACACGTGGAAATACCCTGGATTGTTCGCTTTTGACTCTCGAGTATATTGCATTTTACCAATACAGGGAAAATTTTGCTCCGAGTCAAAACAAAATGATAATGCTATATGCCATTAGATCAGGCAAAAGTTGTAACATGTCCAGTCATGTGCAGCACTTTGAGGTGAATTAGTGTTTCTGTGAACAATACCAACACAAGAGTCAACTATCCAATTAGCAAGGTCCGAACCTTATTTATTGCAGCTGTTGTGTGTCCCACCTTACCAAGCCTGGACCATGGTACAGTCCAACCCAGTGAATGCTTCACCCAGCATGAGCTTCCATACAACACCCAGTGTATATTCACCTGCAATGAAGGCTTCTCTCTCAATGGTCCCTACAGCAAGGTTTGCACTGCCCAGGGAGTGTGGAGTGATGCACGCCCAGTCTCCTGCTCAGGTAAGCTCAAAAGACAACCTGCTCACTTTCTGTCGTGTAGATGTCTCCCCAAGCGTGACTGATGAGCATTTAAATATTAAGTATAAAATTTAAAATATTTGCAATTCAGATTACAAAGCTAGCAAATCTTGGTCTTTTGTAACGGCCAAGGATGATGACACTTTAGACCTGTTTTTTTGCCGGGAAGTACTTGTAGCAGAAACAAATATGGACTGGTTTTGTGTGTACATTTGCCAGAGATGCAGGTAACTTTGACAGAAGTCCAGCTCACTGAATTTGTCTTTATTTTTGGTCCATTCTCTTTGCAAGATTACCAGCCGCCAGCATTCATAGGAATCTGTCCTATGTACATCTCCAAAATTGCACCAGCCAACATGAGACAGACCGTTGTCACATTCCCCACACCTAATGCCACAGATAACTCGGGTGATGGTGTGACAGTGACCAGGTTTGTTTTTATTTCGGGGTATTTAAAAAAAAGTTTGATGAAGGAATAAAAGTGTGATGGGGCAGTTTTAAACTTACTAGATTGAAGCCAACCCATCACAATTTTTCCTAAACTAGAGTGAGCTGAAAATGTCTATTTTTCTGACGATTTTGTTTGTTAATACCCTTCCAACCATATCTGTGGTATGAGCCCCATGAGAAGTATAGTAGACCCCCTCAATGTGGTGTGCTTTGATGTTCCCTTGATTTCTCCCAGAGTGCTGCCAGACCTCTTTGTTTAAAGCATCAACATGCCTTCCTGATGAAGGCATGCCGTGTGATGCGACACCGAATGCAATGAAAATCCAGCTCCATGAAACACAGCCTCAGTGGCTGTATTGTTTCACGATTGTTATAAAAGAGGGTCAAAGTCCATCAAATGAATATTAATCTTTCACAGGAGACTGGTGAAGAATTCTAAACCAGTTGATACTTTACCATCATTGAAACTATCCACGCGACTGGTTTTTGATTGATAGAAATGGGTAAACTAGTATATTAGTATATTTGAATTGGATTTGATAATCCGCCGTAGACCCATGAGCTGATTTCGTTTTCAGGCAGTGCATGTTTGTAATGAAGTATGCCGTTGGCCATTGGAGAACATTGGAGCCCAATCTGCCAATCAGGCTCACATGCACAGAACATGTTTGAACAGGTGCAAAGTCAGGAACTTTACTTTATTCCCGAGTAACCATGGTAACCTTCCCTTTTGGATAACTGAATTTGCTCCTTGAAGATATGACCCCATCACTACGCTGGTATCACACTCAAGCACCCATCCTATGCATTCTTTCACCTCAGATGTGCATGCATGTCACAACACACTGTTGGTCAAAGAGACATGGAGCAGTCTGTAGCACTTCTCAGGGATCTCAAATTATTTCCAGAAAAGCCACTTTTCATTTGGTGTTGAAGCACTCTTGGACGGGTACAGTACTTTAATCTGCCTTATTTCCAAAAGTAATTTTTGTATGTGGCACCACACCGTCTACCAATGGCAAACGCACAAAATTCCAAAGTACTGATCATTTTGCCGAATTGAAGGGGCTGGCCTTTTCTGCTTGTTTTCCACCCATAAGTTGTCTTTACATCAGTTGCGAAAGCATTTTAGATCCTTCTCTAATTCTATTTTGCAGTCAAGACCCAAGCCTTGGCTCAGGTTCATCCTTCACCGAGGGTACAACCCGCGTGGTGTACATTGCTACTGATGCTGCATTGAACAGAAGGCAATGTGATGTGTATGTCACTGTGCAAGGTAGGACAGTGTTCTTTTTAAATGGTTTATACATATTGACTGTTTCAAGTGTCCGAAGCACGCCCTCATTGGCAAAGCAGAGACAGGTTGGTGAGAATGGTTGCATTCAGGTGCCTAGCAAACATGTTGAGTCTGTGCTTTCATAAGTTGGTTGCACATGCTTAGTTCATCCTGGACTATACCATGAACCTGGATGTGCCCTCGTCAAGTTCCCACTAAAGGCCCATCAGAGGAGACTTTTCAAATTTTGCATTAGGTCATATGTACGTGATTATGCATCCAGATAGGAACTCTAACAGCAAAGAAATTTATTTGAACAATTTAGTTTGAGCGAGGTTCTTTCACAGAACGTACAACTTGGAATGACCAGACCAAACAAGTACGCTGATGGTACACAGAGGTTCGTCTCGTGAACTGCTCTCTTGATGTCAAGCCACTGTCAATTTCAAATTCCCCCCTCCTAACCTCTGCATTTCCTTGACCCTTGACCCCCACAGTTCTACGCTGCCGCCCACTGCAAGCCCCTGCCAGTGGGTCCTTGGTCCAGTGCCCCAGTAACATCTACGGTGCCACCTGCAGCTTTGCTTGCAATGAAGGCTATGACCTGATTGGGACGAGCAATAGAACTTGCGAGAGAGTCAACAACAACTGGGCCATTCAGATGAGCGGCAGCGACAACTTCCAGGTGGAGTGGACGGGGGAAAGCCCGACATGTTCACGTAAGGGGCTCTTGCAGTATTGTTTATTGTTAGCGACTTTCGTGCACTAACCTCTCAAGCGTCAGACAAGTTCAGGCACGCACTATAGTTTGACCACTCATCATAATGCTTCTCAGCAGTGCCGACTAGTGATACAGTTAGGCTTGACTATGCATAGTTAAACTATTTTCTAAAACATCACTGTCAATCGCATTTTGCTGTGCGTAGGCTGCAACTGTCACTGTGTTGATGGTCAATGAACATTGTCAACATTATTTTCATGTGAATGGTTCCCTCTGAAGTGTGTCGACATGACAGGCAATGCCCTGTATATCTAGTGAGATTAGACTGGCTATAGTATTCCTTGTCTAGATCAGTGGGCTGTGGCTTGGAATATCACACATGTCTATGGGAAGTAGCCGCAGTTGTTAGCCAGAGGCTGCCTTGAGTGCACATATTTAGACAGAGTCAGTCCAACTTTTGTCATGATTCCACTTTTTCCTGTGTTGCTGATTGATTTCAGTGTTCATAAAATATAAAGTCTTAGCATGATGTAAAAATCAGTATCTTTTCAGTTTTAATGTTTAAAAGCATTGCATAAATTGTCACATTTGCTCATTCGATATTGAAAGTATATTTCTCCCCTCATAAAATGCAGCTTTTGCTCATGGTTAGATTTGAATGAGTTGTGCATATGTTGGAGTTGTTTGAGTTTTCATCTTTTTAACAGTGCACTTTTGATTTTTTGCAGCCGTCACCTGTCCAGCCCTGGATGACCGGCTCCCTGCTATACGCTCAGGTTGCTTTCACTACCCACCAGCCACTGAACTGCTGGGAACCACCTGCAACTGGTACTGTCCGTATGGCTACGGTGGAGTTGGTTCCTCACGATCCATGTGCCTGGCCAACAGCACATGGGATGTGGTTGACTTCTCTTGTGAAGGTACGTCAGTGGGTAATGTTGCAGACAGAAAGTTGAAGTATGAGAAACTCCATTCAAAATTGTAAGCAAAATTCGGGCTACTTACATTTATATGCATGGATGTAATCAACTTATCTGTAATTGTGATTGCATAAATATGACCCGCTCTAGAAAAATGGGTAACAAGTCAGGTTATCAGTTTTTGATATGGCTGGATTGAGTACATCAAAAGCTACAATTTGATTTATGAATGACCCCTGTAGTGCACTGTGTTCCAGAGATATTTATACATTTGCATAGCCACATTTTCAGATTCAATAAAAGCACTTTTTGAAAAAAAGCTCAGAAAGTGTAGGGCTTGGAAGTACAATGTTTATGTAGGATTTCCAACTGAATGATCAATTTTTCATCTTTATTCATCAATATCCATATTTGTAGTCACAAATTCTGAAAATACAAATGTTATACAAGCTAATAGAGGAAAAAGCACAAAATCACATTTTTGAAGACATTTTGCCCTCTCCAAATAGAACAGGCCATAACGTATTTTGGAATTGCCCGACTTAGTACCCTTTTTTGCAGAGCGGGTCACAAATGTGATAATTAGAAAAAGCACTGTGATAAAAAAATGTGCATCATGAGAGACGTTTTCATGAATAAAGCACAAAACTGGGTCCGTTTCAAGTGACAGAAGCCCAAATTTGTGGGCTACATATCTTGTAAATTGTGAACCAAAAAAAAGCATTTGGTAGTGTATAACGTACCTCTAACGTGAATGTTGAGAACAAAAGACTAGCTTTGGCTCAGGCACAGAGTGGTAAACATGGCAACGAGACGTTATAAAACATGTTGCAACCGTACGACTAGTGGGCAATTTATCAACATCCATGACATAACATATGATGGACTTCATTTCTAAGTCTGACATTTTGTATTGTATTTTGAACATGGGATATTGTTACGCCCCTACATATATGAGCTTATTCAAAAATTGCTGTGTTAGAAAAAAGTTCCAACGATGAGTTTTGCTCTAATTACCACATATTTATATGTGAATTGTGTAGAACTGAACATAATTGACCCTTAAGAGCTGGGGGGGGGAGCAGAATTGATCCCCCAAGATTTTTTTCTGACATCATCGCAGGCATTAGTTTTTTTGCCGTGTTGAGCCTGCAGGTTTTTCTACTGGTAATGTCTTGCAGTCAGTTTGATACCGATTTCATTGAAATTGGTCACACTTTTCTTGCAAAATGCCCATTTTTCTGAGACAGGACAGCCAGAAAATGTTAGCTTTTCGCATTGACATTCTCAGTGTATGCTGGCCAACATGCATGAGGTGTGAACTGCTAATAACCATAACAATGGGGCATGTGGCCTTGTAGTTAGGGTTTGTAGCTTCTGATCATAGGGTCGGGGGTTCGAATCCAGCTGGTGGCAGTATGTTGTGACCTTGCTGGTGGCAGCATGTTGCAATCGTGAGCAAGTCACTTTAAACCTATGTGCCTCTCTCCACCCAGGAGTGAATGGGTGCCTGTGAGGGCAGATTTGGTTATGTTAGCCGTGTGCACCTGATATGGCAGCGTCAGCTAGTACACTCCCCAGGGAGATGAGATGGTTTTGTCAACAAAATTGAATCAGAGATACAGGTATTGCATTGATGCTGACAACTTGGTAACCAACCCCTGAGTGAGCAAAGTACCAGGGGCTGATGGTCTCAGACCTTGGTTAGCTTTATCAGGCACATTCAGGATGCTCTGTCAGCTGGTGTGGGATGTCTTCTTTTCTTTGCCTAATGAATACCACGGCTTTTGTTTTCACAGCACATTTGGCTGCTGAACTTTCAAGCACTGACTAAAACCATTTCACTGAGCATGAAGTACATGTACTTTTATCATATAGTATTGTGCAGTTTTGATAAGGTGAAATGCTGTACATTCAACTGTATATTCCAAAGAACACTAAATCAGAATATCAGATCAGAAAATGTTAAAAGTTGTGTCTGTGATAAACCTTTACTGTTTTGAAATTGTTTCCAGTGGGTAGCTGTCAACCCCTTGTCCCACCAGCTGGTATGGAGATATCTCCATCCAACTGCCTGAACTCCCCAACGTTCAATGACATCTGCTTCCTGCAATGCTCCCAGTCAGGGTACAGAGTGAACCCTCCAACCTACGACTTCATCCGTTGCCGTGGCAACGGGGAATGGTCACGTGACATCTCTGCATCCACCTGCATTGGTAGGATTTACTTCAAAGTTTCAATCCTCTTTGTGTCATTAGTTCTGTTGTGTATTTGAAATCTGTTGAACTTGCAAACTGTGCTTACAGCATGCGAGCAAAGCTTTCTTTCATTGTCTGCTATATCATATGAACCAGTTTGAATTCCGTGGTGGTTTCCAGATCGTGGAAACCTTTCCTCCATGTCTGGTGTTGGGCTTCGGTTTCATGAAGTTAATCCTCCAAGATGGAGACTCTCAAGCTCACAGTAATTTTGTTTTCTATATAGAAACATTAAAATATCTAATGAAAGTACCAAGGTGTGGCAAAGTTTTATTTGGTTCCAATAGTAAACATTTGAAAATATTCCTTCAGTTAAATGAGGAAAGTGTCCCCCATGCCGTAATTACTTGGCTGTCTTGATACCAAACAAAACCCTCAGTGGGAACTGTACTGAGGCAGTGTCATCAGATGAAAACTGCTTTGGTTGTATGTGATTTCAGATTATGAGGATCCTTATTTCACTTTATGCCCGCTGGATTTCATCGAGTACCCATTGCAAGGCGCATCTGAAGCCACTGTGACATGGAATGTGATGGCAACAGATAACTCTGGAGAAACACCATCTGTTAATTGCAGCATCCAACAGCCAGCAGTGCTGACTGTAGGTGAACACCTGGTCAGGTGCACGGCTACCGACGGTGCAGAGAACCAGGCATTCTGTGACTTTGAAGTTCTGGTTAAAGGTATGCCATTCGCTTTAAATTCAACACAAATTTCACGCGCTTAATTGTTAATCAGAATTCACTCCAGTCAACTGTCTCTTTAGAAAGACAAATTCAAGGTTCGTTGAAAAATTGATTCGTGTCAGTCTTTGCAAAAATGAAGATATTTTCTCAAGGGTTTGGCGAAGCAACTTGCCAACTCACGTTAATACCGAATTCAAATCTTTTATGTATGAAGGATGATAGAGTTCTGTTTAAGATATTTGATCTGATGCAAAATGATGCCAAACTGTATGTTACATAGTAAAGCATCCAGTATATACTTGATATTCTCAGTGCCTGTCATTAAACTCTGCATGGATGTCTGGATAAAAGGTGTCTAATTGCCAGTATTTGATTTATCCCAGTTCGCCGATGCAGGCAGCTCAACCCTCCCTTCTACGGCGACTTTGTCACAGAATGTGACAGCAGCCATGGATCTACTTGCCAAGTCCGCTGTCAGAACGGCTACACCCTGCAGGGTTCAGACACCGCTACATGCTCCAGGAATGCCAGCACTGGCTTGATGTACTGGGACTGGAATGGCCGACGCCCAACCTGTCAAAGTAAGTGCAGCATAAAATGGCATCCTACATTTGCACCACGGCCTCAGGTCGAACATGGCTGAAAAGCAAAAGTGGTGCACTTACCGGTTCCAAGTTTTGAAAAACAGAAATCTGCCTTCAGCAGAATGATATAAGTATGAAAAAGAACAGCTAGTCAGAATCAGTGGTCAGAACTTGAGCTTTCATGCTAACTTCTGTTTAATATTCACTTCAGATGCGTGTTTTATTTCAAGCCGATTTACTGAATGTCTGTGTAAGAAATCTTTTAAAGAGCGTATTAGTAATACTGATTACTTGTCATACTTGTAGCAAAAATAACGAGCAATTTTCAGCCAAAACTTACAGGCAGTCGAAGAGTTCAGAGATAGCCAAAAGAGTTAGATATATATCTTGGTTTGAAGGGCAGGTGCTGATAACACTTAAAAATTACCTTTGTCTTCAGTTTCCAGCTGTCAACCTTTACCAGACGATTTGATCCCTGTCGGTGGGGGTGTCTATCCCTCCTTCTGCCGTGGTCCCATTCCTCCCTATTACGGCACCACCTGTCATTTCTATTGCCGCAACGGATTCACCCTGGTGGGCCCTGTAGACCATCAGAGGTTGACCTGCCTCTCCGATGGAACATGGAACCAGAACTTGTACACACTCAATGTGCAGTGTCAAGGTGAGTCCAGAACAAGAGATCTGTCCTTACGAAGAAGGTTTATCTGCTCCGTAAAAGCTTAGTAAAACTCTGGTAACCAAGAAGCAGTGTTCTGATGAGACCATCTCAAACGTCGGTGACCGTATAGTCACCAGCAAAGATCGTATAGCACCGCATAGCAGAGAAAGATGGAGAACTTCATCGCGAATACACGTAAAAACGTTGTAATCGCATAGGCGCCATTTGAGCAAGCGATACGCCTGCGCAATGCACATTACTGCATAGGCGCAGGCGCCGCAGCAGGCACATGCAGCTGGTGAGCCTGCGCCGAAGCATTACCGTAAACCATGCAGGCATATCGCTTGCTCAAAAATTACACCTTTTGGGTAGAGTTATCCATCTTGCGCCTTCGGCGCTATACGATCTTTGGTCACCAAGTCCCTAATTTTGCCATTTTATCATGAAGACCAGCCAGACTTCACAATAGATGACAAAACTGGGGACCGGGCAGCTATGCAGTCACAGACATCAGCCCTCACTTTCAAGCCTAGTCACAAACTAATCAAATAAACCATTACAAAGGCATTCTGTGGTCAGTGTTCATTCCCTGTTACCCATGAGAGACTTGTGACTGACCCGCAGAGGTCTGAAAACCATGACATGTAGTTGACCTAATCGATCAAAGCATACTTAACTGATACTTTGCAATGATGATCTTTCTCTTTGTAGTCTAATAGTTTTTTCTCCTGTGCTTTGTAATTCATGTTGGCTGGCAGAGTGTCGAGCACCAATAGTCACCACACTTTGCTTTATGGGGAGACTTTTCTTATCTTGATTATTTTTTTAGACAACATGCCACCAACCCTGCGTGTCTGCCCAGGCTTCCTGTCTGGTTCCATGTCCGGCCAGTCCCTAGGTGTTGTGCTGTCCTTCGATGTACCCATGGCCGTCGACAACTCAGGAGCCCCACTGACATTGATCAAGACTCCTCCGGACATTGATTCCCCGTACAATTTCACACGGGACACCGACGTGTCATACGTCTTCACAGACCCTGGAGGGAACAGTGTGTCGTGCAATTTCAGTGTCAGCATTCAAGGTGGGATCAGATGTTTTTTTTGCATGTTTAGTTGTCTTGGATGCTGTATTTTCACTGTTCTTAACCAGTTAACGCAGGAGTACATGTTAACACAATCTGGCAGTCAGCATACACATGGACAGCTGACAGATTAACTGTCATGTCTGCCTCAAGTCACTGCCAGTGGATGTGTTACATAAATGCTACTTCCTCAATTTGCTTTGTACACACACCCAAGTGTGTACTTGCCTGCAACTGGGGACCCCCTATTGTTCCTCTTTTGTTTGTACCCTAACTTTTTTAGAAGACCACCCATATGTTTTGTACACAGTTGTCAATCAAGGACCCTCTGTCAATCGGGGACCTTATTGTCCTCTATTGTTCAGGGTCCCCAATTGAATGCAGAAACAAAATCACACACACACTGTCAGACAAGTCTATAGAGGCGGGCTGTTTGTTGAACTGGATCACTATGCAGGGCCTGCTGTAGGAAATATCTCTTCATGCGAGTGCCCCGGGGCAAAGTGATGGCATGTTTCCTAAAATTGGCTGTTTTTCACTGCAGTGAACAGTCGTTAAATGATCTAGCGTGAGTCAGTGGCTGAAAGGCGGAATGCTCACTCCGAGTGCGAGTAACTAGAGCAGCGAGTGCACCTCAGCAAAAGCGTCCGTTTTATGCAGGTGTAACAGATGGCATGCTTGTACATGTGGAAGATGCCCCTTTGGTGGACCACACCGCTTATGTGTATACCCATTTGGCATGAGTTAGTACGAGCACATTTCTGCTGAAATGTATCGTGTCCTTGTAGGTGCTGTGTGTAGACGTTGGAAATTCCCCCCTTGTGTCTTTCTTTTAGTAATGAGGAACATGTACTTCTAGAGTAGATTTGCTCTGTGCACCTACTAAAAACCAAGCCCTCCTGTACTTTGCAACATTCTTTTCATCAACGGCGACATGTTGCACACTTCATGTCGTCATTTATTGTTTGTTATCATTATTTATTTGTATATGAAACTCATGTGCCCCTCCACAACCCAAAATTGAAATGCTGTGATGATGGGAACATAACCTTTTCATGACCGTCTTCGTTGGATGTGCCTCCACTGAGCAGCCAGTCACATTGATTCCATTCACAATACAGTTCAAGTCCTCATTGGGGGACAATTTCATATGACGCGCTCTTTTTTTTGCCAGCTCCTTCTGTTCTCTCGTTCCACAGATAACCTCTCACCAGTCCTTGAGTTTTGCCCTCCAAATGAGAACATTACAGCCAATGGGAGACTTACCACTGTGACTTGGCAAGAGGTAAGAACTTTGTCTGAGATTCAAGATTGAATTGAAAAAGACAGTGACTGCTTTGTTACCTCACTCTGTTTAACCTCTGACATCTTGTGCAGAAACTGAACATTAGTCTGTGGGCCACTAATGAGACCCACTAGTGGATTTGAATGAACAAAAAGTATATGGCCCCCCGGCTTTTGATTATGCCTCTGTCGTGCATAATGTCATCTTAGTTATTATCGTATTTATTTGTTTTCTTGTATATCCTTGATTAATTTGTACACATTCATATAACCTGATTGTTACATTTGCACTATCGAAATAAATGTTAAATGAATTGAATTGAAAAAACAAAAATATGTGTGAACGAATACTAGGAAATTAAACTAAATGAATCAAAGGAGTTTTCGGTATTACAAATGTTTCGCATTATTAACACAGAAGGTACATGTATGTTATACACCTTAGTTACACGTACATGTATGGGATACAAATAAAATATAGTTTTAGGGTGGATAGATGAGTTTAGCTAAATTTCCTCGGTACTGGAAGTTGAAACTAGTTTGTCAACTTCCAATACCGAGGGGAGCTAAACTAAATAAACCATGTCATATTTGTCTTACCATACCTCAGACATATTCAGTTGCCATTAAAAATTAAGGGAAAGGCAGGGTACATGTGTGCCGCCATCTGTTCACGTGTTGTCTGCCTGAAGCATAGCTGGGGCGATTCTTGCATGTGTGTACTTCTTCACCCGTGTGACAGTCCCACTTCATTGTACCCTGGGATAAATTCAGCACAGTGGCATTTTTGAGTTGTGCTCTGATCTTCATGGGCACGACTGGTAAACAGTGAAAATAGCAACTGTTAGATGATGATGATGAACGGACTAGTGACAGTTTAGCTTGAAATCCTAATATGAAGAAGGTATGGTACTCCTTACGCCAGTGAAGGCTTGAGTGCCCCTACTTACAGATGAATTCAGCGACGTTGCAATGGATTTTGCAGGGGCTCCCTATAACCACTTGCTGCCGGGTGCTTTTAAAAATGCAGTGCACACATACGGGAGATTTTCAAGATTTTCAGTCTTCAAAATTCTTCAAAAATTCATCATTTCATTTAATGGACGTTTACACCTGCATGAATGACTGTTTGGTGGCTACTCTAAGCTGACAGGTAACCTTCATTGACTCCCGAGTATTTCAGCCAGGCCTACTGCCCTGTAAAGAGAGCCCAGAATTGTGAGGTGTTGCGTTTCCTTTGTCCCCAGTGAATGCGATTGGTGTCTTTACAAACACGGCTAGATTAGCATGCAGCGGTGCTGTGTCACTCATCAGTGGGGCCCTAGAGCACTTCTGTCCGTGGTGCTAATCTGTGGGTGCGCTGTGCCCAAAACAGTGGTATACTGTTCAAAAACAGTGACGGATTACCATGGAAAAATGCAGACCGAAAAACGATGGCAAGGTCTTTTGTTCTGAGTATGGTCTTTTGTTACACGGACCAGCTCTTTTATCCCATTTCAGGCACCCTGGCTCTGCATATAAACCCATGGTGGTCAAAACGGGGTTCCCCGGCAGCAAGTGGTTAAAGGCGGCAAGTAGCAAATTTGGTTTTGTAATGGAGAGACTGTCATGGAACAGTGGCTCCATAGAAAATCAGGGCCACTAGAAATGGCCAGTGGTAGATACCATGGCTGCCACATTTGTCCATAATTGGCAAAATTTTACTTCAATAGTGCAAGAGGACCAAGCACAGTGTTTAAAAATTGTTTGCCTTTTACAAATTAAAAAAGTTGCTTTGTAACACGTTGGTATGTTACAAATTTGGCAATTGTTTTTTTTCAGATGTTGAAGTCAGTCTTGAGTCTTGATTGAATCAAACTTGAACATTTTTATTCTCTTTTGGGGATGCATTTGCAGCCTGTTTTCCGAGAGCTGACCGGTGATGAACTGGACATCAGTTGCAGTCACCAAAGTGGATCGTCCTTCCCATGGGGAAGTCACAACATCCAGTGCAGTGCAACTAACCTGGACAACAGCAAGACCACAATGTGCCAGTTTATCGTCACAGTCGCACGTGAGTAGTCCCCCTTTTCCGTTATGAGACTCTAACAAAAGCATAGCTGGAGTACTTAGTCTATCTGTCTTGAGTAGAAGCACCTTCTCATCAGTTTAAAAGAGCCATGTTAGTGAGGAGCGTTCATATTGTTGGTAGCGATGCAACTGTAATGCTTGCTTTTAATGTTCATAGTCGTTTGTGAACCAGTGAAATGCAGTTCCGACCAAAGGAGCCTCCATTGCTACGAAAATTGCGTCATTACTTTGGTCTCTTGAGCTCGGGGTTCACAGTGTGCTGAAGTAGCATGTTATAGATTCCTTGCAGATTTATAGTACGAGAAATGGTTATGTGTGAGAAAAAAATGTCTTTTTTACACTGGCTTGCAGGCTTCAGCAGCCAGTGATTTTGAAGTGGATGATTCAAGGAGGTACCTACATACATGGTCCTTTCTTGCTCTGCAAGAGCTACAAATAACATGCTCACAGATGGTTGGGGCGTACGTACCTTGTGGTTTCTGGGTTTGAGTCCCATATTAAGTTGACTTCATTTCATTATTGTGCCTCATCAAATTTTCTTTTTTTTTGTGGGTCGAGGAGGTGCTTCTGAGACCAGATAACTTACATGTACATTCATACGTTATAATTTTTGATAAGTTGGATTTGTGCCTGTGAATTTTGATGCTTCACATAATGCTTTGTTAGTCATACTTTTTTCTGTGTACGTGTTAGATGCAGAATATTTTCTTGCAACATTAGAGTAAAATTGCCCTCAGAGACATCATTTGCTTTTCTTACAGGGTAGCTGCAATGCAATTTTTTAATACAGACCTTCAAAATGCACCGTTGTGTCTCAATTCCATTTTCAATTTGAGTTTCACTAATTTAAAGGGTGTTGTGCTGTCTTTTTGGCGCTTAGGCTGCTGAGAATTTCCATATTCATGAGTAAAACTGTGAGGCCATCCCAGGAAGAGAATTTCAGTGTTGCATTGGTTTGTGCACAAAAAATTGCTGAAGGTCTTAGATTTGCTGGCCTCAATGTGCTTTCCTTTGGTGATTCATTGTGTATTACAGTAGTAAGTAATTAAGCAAGCATGCAACCCTTTCTCGTAAATGTTTTCAGTGAAATAATTTTGAGGACACAATTTTAACAGAAACATTGAACTAGGTCTTCCTTAGATGACATCACAACAACAGCCCCCTCAGTGGTCCAGAAAAGCATGGGACATTTTTAATGTTTTTAAAAATTGCCCTTTTCAAATTGATGGTAAATATTTTGCTTGCAGTTAAGAAGAGGATAAAACTTGCAGAAAAATTGTGTGCAAGAAAAATCCATTGCTTCTACACTTGAAGAGCTCCCTCTCAAAAAGGCTTTGTTCTGCCCCGTTCTGCTCATCTTTATTTTTAGAAGTTCAACCATGCTTTGATGTGGACTCCCTCTGTGAAAAATTAAATCTCTTTTAATCTTTTTTTTCTTGGCAGCCCGTCCTTGTAGTCCTCTGGACCCACCCAGAAATGGAGCCAAGGGTTGTGATGAGTGGGCCTTCGGACTCCACTGTGCCATGTTTTGTAATGCAAATTACGACGTGCCTCCAACAACCAACCCCAGCCATACATTCCTAGTCTGTGGTTCCACTGGGCGGTGGGCACCAGTTCAGAGGTTCCCACGCTGTGCTCGTGAGTTAGATTTTGCCTATTAAGTGTGCGTTGAGTTGTTCTTGTGAAGCTAGTCAGTCCTTGTCATTCTCTGCACCTAGGAAAGAATGTTATCCTACTGATGCAAGGTTGGAATCAAATTATTGCTACTTTTAACCCCAAAAGAGCTGGGGAGGGGAAATTGTACTTTTCAATTTTATGCTGGGCATTCAAGAGTTTTTAAGCTTCGCAGTTATTTTGCACCACTTTAATGAAAATCAGACATGCCGTTTTTTTCAACACGGTCATTTTTCAAGGAGAATTACAGGCCCAAAGTATCAACTTTTTCCATTGTGCCCTATGCACAGGCCAGTGTGTGAGAAAGGGTGAAAAATCCCAACAGCAAACCTTTGATGAGGTGAAATATGAACTTTGCCAATGTATTCAAAATGTCTTTGCGTGATTCCAAAGATTACAACAGATTACTCGTGGGACATGAGCTGAGATGCTTGGAGGGAGAGTGCTGAATGATCGAATAGAATTGACTGCAGTCTACATGGTCTACCGTGTGCATTAAAAGCAAAAGTTGACTTCCTACAGAAACTCAAATTGATTACTTGGTGCAACAGGACAAGTTAACACTGGGCAAAAGAGAGACACTAAACGGCGTTTGGAAAAACATAGCAGTGAAGCAAAGTTGACACAGTCACCGGCCAGCTACACCAAAATGATACGTTTCTTCTTGTGGATTTTATATGTGACCCCTCCCCCTCTTCTGGCCCTGAGTTCAAAATAAGCTCTTCACAAGAAGATTTAAAACAGACAGAATGTAGGTTTCATCTTCAGCTTTTAAAAGGTACATGTATGCTTATTGGCTGTTAACATTCAAAACACACTACTAATATATGCACTTTCTTGGTAAGTGTTGACTCCCTGATTTAAACTCTTGACCAGTTCTTTTTTCAAGGCCTTTCACCGGCTATCTTTTTATAACCTGGAAAAGTGGCAAATCTATTTTACACCCCCAAACAACCAGATAATAATCAGGAAGATCTTGGGTTATGGACTCAGTTACCCCTCCCAGCCTCCCCCCCCCTAAAAAAAATCAAAAACAACCCCAGGCAATTAACAAAATATGGTTTGGAAGCTGTTTAGAATCATTGGGAATTTGGAATGACAGAGACAAAAACAGTAGAAAAGTAAACAATGTGTAAACCGGACTCCCCTGATGACATTCATAGATGCTGTATGTTAAAGATAAAGTTGGCTACAGTGTCACATGAATCAAACTAAAAGATGTCTTTTCCTTGCAGGGAGAGTGCGACCAGGACATATGTATGTGCTGTCTGATCTGCATTACTACAGTGGTGATTGTTCGTCACCCGACACACAAGCCCAGATCAAAGAGCAATTCATCTCCATATTGGTCAATGAGAGCTACTTCCATGAGATCTGCACTGCTTATTCTGCCGAGTGCCACGTTGGCAATGTGGAGGTCACCTGTGGACCCAGAAGTGGTGGGGGTGGGATCTTTCGACGTGATGTCAGCGCCTTGCAGGATTCAGCGCTGGACTTCGGCTTTTTCGGGCTGGACCAGCTGAACGTCAGCACCCAAGAGCTTGCAGTGGCAGACAAGCTTTCTGAGCATGCCCAGAAGTGGCTTTCCAACATGCATTCAAAAAGGAGGCCGCCGCAGAATAGTCACGACAGCCAACGCCACTGGTTCTCCACCCCAAGGCCGAAACCCAACAGAGATCAGACCCGCAGTCGACGGTCAACAATGTCGCACTCCTTCCGGATTTCGTTCAGCATGAATTACATGCTGCCCTCCAATTCCAACATGTCAGAGGACAGTTTTGACAATGAATGCTGGAATGGCTATGATGGATTGTATTTGGCAGTCGATGATGTACAAGCCATGGCAGACGGCGGCATGTTGGGGCTTGCTGTGGACGGCATGGAGATAGACCCACTACCTCTGTTTGTTCCCAATGAACCAGCTCCATCCTGTCCCCCGGGATACATGGAAACCTACAGCTTTTTAAGGGACAGCATGACCTGTGGTATGTCCGTCACTGAATTCTTCAGCCAACCTAAATTTCACAGATATTTCCTAATACTCTACACCTCACATTAATTCTTGCAGTGCTCAATAAATGTGTAAAGAAATGAACCATGACATTGGCTTTAATGGGATTCGAACCTGCGACCTCCAAACTCCCCTCACAATTACCATTACTGTACTTGATTCCTTTTCGAGCGCTTCCTTGTGCTTATGCCACAGGTGTAGATCTTTGGTAGTAAACAAATGACTTTGAGTTTCTCAAAGTTCCTTACTGGGTGAAGATAGAGGTCATACACCAGTTGAAGTTATGAAATGAATTTGTCGTCACACTCAAGTATTTTTTGTAACTTTTGACAACTGCATCAACTTTCCTTGACGACATTCCACCAAGCCACCGTGTTTTTTCCATTGTTTTGTGGGAGTAACCAGCTAGGTGGGCATTGTTAAGTCAGTGTGAGTAGTCACTTCAGTGTCATATCCAATGGAGTAATTGAACTGGCTTTTTGCAGGTACCTAGTCAATTCCTTTATGTGGTTTGTTTGAAGATTTATATGTGAAAAGCAAAATTCTCTTTGCTTGAACCCATTTCACCACTTTCAATGTTTGCAACATCACCAATGTTGTTGACACTGTGACTTTGGTGGCATGATCCCTGGTTACAAAGGGGTATAATGGCTTCTGACTAGCGTTGTTAAACAGAGACATCAACACCGAGCAGAAACGATCTGTACAGGGCTGGGTAGCTCAGTTGGTGGAGCACTGACATGGCTCTTTGAAACTTGCAGGTTCAAATCTTGCTGTAGTCAGTTTCCGTATTCGTGTTACTATGTACATGTAGGCACCTGGTCAATTTCCCTATGTGGTGTGTTTGATCATTTAAGAAGCGTATTAGTAATTTTATTTAGTTATCACACGGGCGCGAGTAGAACACAGAATAATGTAGTACGTCTGTACTGTATACCGCAAGGCCAAAGGTGGGATGGTATATGGGACACAGACACACTACATTATTCCGGGTTCTATGAGCATGCTCGTGATAACAAATTTATCTTCAAGCAGACTTGACATGTGTGCAATCTGTGAATTTACAGTAATTTTTGCAGATGTGCATTTGCTGTTAGTGTAAAAAAAGTGCAATTCATTGAGTTTCAATAATGCATTACACAGGGTTTGATATGAACCATGCAATACAGTTATCACACTGTTTGTTGCCATGGACAGACCAATCAGAATTGAGAATTCAAGTTCAAGACAATAAGCTGTACTGCCTGTACATGTAATGCCATACTACATGTAGCCGAGTTCTGAGCAGGTTGACTTGGAAATACTACAGGGACAGAGTTAGAATCACCCAGAAAACTTCAAAAATATGTTTATTAAAACAGCTCTGTATTGTTTTTTTTTTCGACCCGATTTTACTGAGCCAGTTGGCTGTCCAGCCGGTCAGTTTTTCAACAATGACACTCTGACCTGTGAGGAGTGTCTTATTGGTCGGTATCAAGATGAAGATCTGGAGCCCCAGTTCACCTGTAAGTTCTGTCCTGTAGGAACGTCGACTGTTGGCGTTGGGTCCGCCAATCTGACAGACTGCCTGGGTGAGTGCAAAAGTAGGGAGGGTCCATTCCTCAAGCAAGAGCTGTCATGAATACCACTATTCACCGTAAGACTGTGGAACACAGAGGCCAAACTACTGACTGCTTCAAGTTTTGTAGTGAAAATGGTTTCCCAGACAAACTACATGAAGCTTTCCAAGGTTAACCACAGAACATTCTTTTTTTCTCTCTCAAGGTAGAGCTGAGGAATGTAGAATGCTCCATGGATCACTTTGGGAGGCTAGTTTTACTTCAACACTAGATAAAGTAGTCAATATTTGTGCCATAGAGTTTACTTCCTTTAAGTGATGAATGATGATTATGAATCTAAATGCAATTTAAATGTACTTCTATTTGGGTACAAAATTTGTCCGAAATTCAGTGGCGCTTCTCCAAACTACCTCCTCACAGTATGTTTCCACGCAGCTCAGGGAATACATGTTAAACACACACCCGTTCGCATTTGCACACAGTATCAGTTGTTAGGAGTATAGTTCTGTGATTGCTACGGTCATAGTGCTTTGATCACTCTGGGTATAGTTCATTGGCTGTCCTCAGCAGGAGAGCCAAAATGGTGAATACCATGTGACTAGCTCCCGGCCAATCAAGGTACAGGATCTGTATATATGTATGTGCAGTCGGAATGGTATCAAGCAGTACAAGCTTTCAACTCAAAACTGGAAGATTTTTTTATTTAGTTTGAATATAACGGCCTTCATCAATGTCAAAAGATGGAGTCTGTGACAGAGAAGAAGCCAAGATGTAGAAAATTGTTTCGTCTGTTAATTCAACCTGAATATCTCATTGTTGAAGCTTTTTACTTCAGATGCTGTAACTACATGGCAGATTTGTACATGTCAGTGGATGTATGCATTTGAAGGCATGTTCTAGGGTAGTAATTATTTTTAAAGACAGCTTGCCATTGCCATTTCTGCTGACAGTTTGTTGTGATTTATGTTAACGAAACTGCAATCATGATTATTGTCATTTTCTGTGTTTTTGTCTTGGTGTAAACAAGTTCTGGTTTATTTTGAAGAAAGTTACCTGTCCTTGCCAGTGATAACAAACTTTTTCTGCTTGCTTCAGGAATTCTGCACTCTTTGCATCTCAGTTAGGATTTGCTGACAGTGAAATTAAAGAGAAAACAGTGTTATGTTGAAGTACATATAGACATGCAATATAAGGGGTCTTGACATGTTCATTATGACTGGAGGACACATATCAGCACCCATGACTGTAGGTCAAGAAACACTCGCAAATTAATATATACATGTGTTACCATAAACACAGGCATTTGTCCCAGTGGTCACTTTTCTGACACCGGTCTCGAGCCATGTTCCAAGTGTGAGAAAGGATCCTACCAGTCTGAGGCTAGGTCGCTGTCCTGTCTCCCATGTCCAGTCGGTCAGTCTACAGCCAGCATTGGATCCACGGACATAGAGGACTGTTCAGGTTAGTGTTGCATGATCATTAGTGTACTTATGATTACCGCTGATGGGTCATTAGGGAGACATTCCAGTAAGAGTGGGCACAATTTTTTTCCAACTTTATTGTCCCATAATTCAATATTCCCCAATCTGATCTGAACCAAACTATGTCTGTTTTCATTTTAGGCCCTAAACTATCATCTCTCAAAATATGGGCAGTAAAATTCGGCCTCCTTCTGGTAGTTTGAAAATAGGGAGACACTGAAATGTCTCCCTAAAAGCCAATGTCTCCCTAACGCTGAAAAATTTACCACGAAATGTCTCCCAAATGACCCATTTGTAAATTTATTTTGTAACATTTCAGCACGGATTAAACTTAAATGTTTACATGAATGCAACCTCAGTACACAGTTTTTGCTATCCAGGGATGAGAGATGATACGCAGAAATACATGTATCTGTAGTGTGAAAGTAAGGAAGTAATCACAGACCACAAAATGACCATGATAAATGAAAGTATTATAAATAAGCAGAACTAATAAAACTCAGGATTGTGAAAGGAGATTATTTAGCACACTGAAGTAACAGCTTCTGTTAACAGATTGTGGAAGGTATTTAACTCGTATACTTTGTTCTGACAGATTTGTGTCCTGCCGGGTCATTCTCTGCGTCTGGCGTACAGCCATGCACTCCCTGCCCATACCATAGCTACCAGCCTGAGCAAGGTCAGAGTTCATGTCAGCCATGCCCTGATCGACACATAACGCAGGTCACGGGAGCCACAAATCTCAGCATGTGCTCCAGTAAGTCACACTAGACTTCCCGGGTTGCACTCGGAAAAAGAAACCATACAGGGATCAAGTTTGAGTTTATCTGAAGTTGCCAAAATGAGGTCTGTTTTGGAGAACTAAATACTGGAATGAAAGGAGTATGAAATGAGTCTCCATTTGATGTACATTCGACGTGAAGAGGATTACACTTTATGCAGTTTTCCTAAGGAGATGAAATGCTTTTTTGGTGAAACAACCTTTGAAATGAAATTTGCCAAAATAAACAATAGTTTCCTCTGTAGTTATAGCAGAATAAATTCATTTCGTCTGACTGGTGGATTGGTGAGTACGTGCCATTGAAATTATTCATCCAAGCACATGGCATGGCTGCAGCTCAGAAATGGAAGGTCCATTTCATTGATGAATGGAAGTTCCATTTTTTGCAGTGACACTAAATTTGTGAACTTGTAGGTGGTGCAGTGATATCTTCAGGTAGGGATTCATTTAGGCATTTTAAAAAACAAATAAGTGTTTCACATTTGTAAGATCATTTACTGGTCATACATTGTTAAATTAGATATTATCTTAAGAAAAAAAACAAGGTTATTGCACCAAAATTGTCCACCTCCTCAGTACAAACCTTCTGCTCTGCTACTTCCTGTCTGAATGGCGGAACCTGCATGGAGCAACTAGAGTCCTTCCGCTGTGAATGCCCAGCAGGTCTGACTGGAGAACACTGTCAGACTGATGTGATTGACTGCCAACAAGATTCTTGTTTCAATGGAGGGACCTGCGTGGATGAACTTAATGGGTTCAGCTGCACCTGTGCGGCAGGATACCAAGGTACTGGGATAAAAGATGGATGAACCACTTGCCAACTCGTTCCAGGCATGGTGTGTTATTTGTTTTGCCCGAACACTGACTCTTTGAAATGATAAGATATCACAACTGCCTTGGACCTTAGAAATGGGAATCCTTGGTGGTCATTTGCTGTGATACGTTGAAACATTCCCCGCGCTATTGGCACAGGCAACCTTGCATATTTTACACATCGTGTGGTGTGAATTGTTTACTGAAAAAAGGGAAGAGATTATGTTATTTTGTGATTGATGTCTGAACTTTTTAGGGGATGGTACCCTTCAGAGTTTGAGAAAAGCTTGCTGAGAGGTTTTTGCCTTAAGTTAGAAAGACTCGATCGGCAAAGATCACAATAACGCAAATCCATGGAAAAGTTCAATGCTGATCCCTGAAGTAGAAGTTACCACATACTATAACTCTTCCTACATTCTTGCGTAAGTGGTGTAGTTTTGATGCCTTGCTCAAACCACACAACTGCAGTAGCCCTGCTTAATGGCTTTCATTTTTTGTATAATGCCTGTATCAGGTTGCATTGTCGGGTTCCATCACAAACTTCTACAAGTGCACAGTGAATGATGCTGTCTGCTTAGCACACAAGCTGTCCTTTGTACACAATAATAGAAGATATGGCTGTTATTTCTCTTTTTGTACTACAATGTAGGTGATGATTGCTCTATCAGGATTGATTTCTGCAT